GTCGCATAGGTACGATGGGAGAGCGGCGATCCTCGCCGGGAGTGCGTCCGACGAGCACCTGGGACCTCTCCTCCTGGTGTGCGTTCTGGTTAGAATCTCGTGGCGGACGGGGCCGCGGCGGCGGCCAGGGGAGGCCTCCAGGAAAGCCCAGGAGGCAAGAACGAACCTGGCCCTCCACTCCCAAACACCCAGTCCCACGACGTTGCCACAAAGTGGCTCCCCAACCCCTCCATGGGGACCGACTTCTCCATCCCGAGCCAAGGTTATCTGACGGCTCGGCGATCTGGTGAGAGCCCGTCGTGGGCCGATTACAACTCAGTGCATTCCGCCGTAATTTGTCTTCACGGCGCCGAATGGTAGCAGGAACGCTCGAGATGAGTGTGGACAAATCCCACCAGCCGTCTGGGCGTAGGTGGTTTATGAACTTGTGCCTTCTCTCTGCCGAGGTTCCCTCCTCCCTCCGATCGGGGGAGGCTTTTTATCACTGCTCCCTATTGATATACACCCCCTCCCCGAGGCGACCAGCAGGCAACCAGGAACAATGATGGCCCCACACGCAATGCTGTGCTGACAAGTATGTTTGGCAACCGAGGGCCCCCCCTACCATCCCTGACAAAGAACAATACTAAACGCTCCCTGCTTCCACCTTTGGAGCATGCGCGGCCAACCCGATGCGGCCCCCCACGCCATCCTGTCAAACACCATACAAAGTACGCTTTGGGGCAAAGTCTTGAGTCATGTTCGTGAGGCCCGCGAGCACTTTGTTCCCAACCATCATGTGGTGTTGGGTCCTCGTTTTGAAGAAACGGTCCCCGCTTCTCCTCCTCCCGTGCTCCCCCCCACTGGGGGTACCACATGCGTCCAGCAGCTGCCCATCCAAAGACGACCGCTGAACATGATGGCTCGGGTGTTACTTATGTATTGGAAGGGCGGGTGGGCGTGAGCTAGACGGCTTGCTATCTAGGAGGCTGTCTTGATCACTGTTCCCTTTAATGTACACCCCGTCCCCCAGGCGACTGGGAGCCAACCCGAGCCAATGAGGGCCCCCCCACCATCCCTTGCAAAAAACAATACGAACACACACTCTGCCTCCAAATTCGGAACATGCGCAGCGAACCCGATGCGGCCTCCCCCCATCGTCCCTGTCAAAAAACAATGCATAGTACACTTGGCGGCGGCGGCGGCTGCGGCGGGGGCAGCGGCTGCGGCGGGCTGGGCCTGCGGCCGGTTTGGCGGCGACGGCGGCGGTCGGTGGCTCGTTTTTTCCCGCGGGGCGGCGGTCCGGACCGGCGCGGCGGCGGGGGGCGGTGGGGCTGCGCCGGCGGCGGGGGCCAAGGGCGGGCCCGGCGGCACGGGCGGGGCCGGCGGCGGGGGCCGGCGCCGGGGCGCGGGGGTGCGGCGGCGGCGGCCGGCCGGCGGCGCGCGGCGTGGCGGGGGGCGGCGGCGCGTGGCGGCAGCGGCTGCGGGCTAGTGCGCGGCTGCGGGCGATTTCGGCCGCGGGGGGGGCGGCGGCGGCCGGCGGGCGGGCACCGTCGGCGGCGGCGGCGGCGGCGGGCACCGGCGGCGGCGGCAGACAGCGTCGGCGGCGGCGGCGGTGGCGGCGGCGGGCGGCGGCGGCGGCGGAGGCGGCGGCGACGGATTCGCCCCCAGTAGCTGCCCAACAACATTCACCCATACCCATAGGGGGGTCGGAGAGGGCTATGGGTGCGTGCTGTCGGATGGGGGTCCCCGCTCGAACGGGAGCGTTCTCCAGGGTCCGACAACCCGCACCCATACCCATAGCCAGTCCTCCTCTCAACGACCCCGCTATGGGTATGGGTGTGTGTTGCTCGGTCGTCAATGGGGCCCAAGATCGCTCCAAGAGGCTTCCAAGACTTCCACTTCGCAGGGTCTTTGCCGGGTTTTTGAAGGGCCCCCCCCTCTGTGAGGACCGTGCGAAGACCCTGCAAAGAGGGGACCCCTCTTTCTCTTTTGCTCGTTGTGGATCCTTGAGCCCCACTGTCTACAAAATCGGGAATACGAAATTCATGCCCCCTCCAAATCTCAACTCGTGCCGCGTTCCTCCTCCTTCTCCTCCTGCTCCCTTCTCTTGTTTCCCACTCTTTCTCCTCTTCCTCTTCCTCCTCCTACCCGGAAGATGGTACCAGAAGGCTTGTAGAAAACTAGTTAGAAACATCGCGGGAACAGAACGAAACCGCCGTGGCATGGGGACATGTGTTAAATCACTTCCCGCTGTCTTCTGCGCGCGCTCGGACACGCTTCAACGGCAGCTGGGCAATGGCGTGCTTCAACGTGTCCCTGATTCAGCAACTCCCCAGGCAATCATTTCTGGATGGGCTTGTGGGGGTGCGCGAAGCGTCGATAATCGACAAATGTGTCAAACAGCAAACGTTGTCCCAAACTGGCAGCGGCCGCTGTTTGTCAGTTGACCTTTTGCCTCAAATGGGCAACATTCACAGCGGCACTGACAGAGGGCCCTGTCCAAAACGAACACGAACTGCTGTCGGTCCTTGTCCCCGTTCTTTCCATACAGATTTCGTTCGTGCCGATCAGGGGACGGTCCCCTGACATTCGCCGATCGGATTATTCGAATCTGCAGCTCCAGATATTCCGCCCGCCTACCCTAGTGCTAGTTGTTCGTCACAGCTCCATTTTGATGGCCGTGGGGAACAAGAACGAACCCAAACACAGGCCCAATTCGAGGACAAACACCCTGATCGAAAATCGGATTGACGCCGAAGATGTCAGCGAACGCTCCGACACGATCCGCCATGACGTCCGGGCCCCCATTTTGGATGCCCGAACTGGGCACGGAAACAATGGGCACAATGCCCAACGGCAAATGTTGTCCCAAACCAACAGCGGCCGCTGTTGGGCAGGCGGCCTTCTGTCTCGAATGGACACAGGCCGCGGCGGCGCGGACAGCGAGTCCTGTTCAAAATGAACACGAACTGCTGTTGAGCATTGTACCCATTCTTTCCGTGCCCATCTCGTTCGTGCAGACCCATGGGATCGGGGGCTGCCAGAGGTGCCCCGGGCCCCTGGCCGAAGGCGCCCCCTCAGCTCTTCGTGCCCTTGCGGGGCCCCTGGGCCTCTGCAGCCTCGTGAGAGGTGCCCTCGGGTAGAGGGAGGTAAGAGAACAGCAGAACGGGTTTCTTGGATCTGCGCTGGAGCGCGCCAGGGGAAGGCGCTGGAGGCGCCGCCAGGGGGCCCAGCGCCGATCCAAGAGATCTGCGCGGAACTCCGAGAGTTTCTGCCTCTGCCGCTTGTTCTTCTGCGGCTCTGGAGGGTACGATACGATTCGACCGCCGCTGTGGACGCCGTCCGGGTCTAGCTAAGACCAGGTGGGTGAGGCCGTGGCCTCAGCAATCTCCGAGATGCATAAAACGTAAATAGAAGGGAGGGGGGAAGGGTCCTTTGGGTCCTTGGAGAGGCTCTGGGGGTGATGGGGCACCACTGGAAATCCTGGGGACACGCTATCCAAACATCCGACGTCTTGGGTTCTCAATACACGGCCCCCCTAGAGGCCTGGACGCTTTCCCCGGGGCCAGCTCTTCCTCCTGACCAGTTCTTCGACGGTCCTTGGGCCAGGAGAGAGCCCCGAGAGGCTGAAAGCAGCATAAGGCCTCCGCCTTGAGCTTCTCGAGGCAGTGGAGATCTAGGATTTGAACGCCCGAAATGGGCAACGACAAAATGACCACAATGCCCAACACAGGCGGCCCCAAACCGATAGCGGCCGCTGTTGGGCAGGCGGCCTCCTGTCCCAAGTGGACCACGCCCGCGGCGACATTGACAGCGAGCCCTGTTCAGAATGAACAGGAACTGCTGTCGATCTTCGTACCCGTTCATTTCTAAGGAACCCAAAATGGTATCAGCATAAATCAGGGAGACGTAAGACCCGGGTACGGGGGACTCGGGTTGGCCTGACGGGGGCCATCATAAAAATGACGAGGCCCAACCTGAAAGTCGACGCGGGCTCCCGCTGCAGACATCCCACGAAAACGGAGCCGTCAAAATCCAGGACGCGCTCGTCAAAACAAGTGGGCAAACCCGAGATCCGGCTTACTCGAGTCTTACGTTTCCCCGAATAAGAGCTCGGAGGTCCGGGCGGATTTCGCGGATCGGTGCTGGACCCCCCTCCCTGGCGCGCGGAGAGGCGCCAGGAGCGGCGCCGCAGGCGCCGCCAGGGGGCCCCAGCGCTGATCCGACGGATCCGCGCTGACCTCCGAGATGTTATGTTTATGCCATTGTTTCGCTCCCTTGCTCAACCATCTTCCCGAGGGGAGGGCCCCAGGCTGGCGGCGCGCACAGGGGGGTAGGGGCAGGGGGGAAGGCTTCTGGGAAGCAGGCGGCTCCTTGGAGAAGGCGCCGGCCTTACATCTGCAGAAGAGGCCCGCGCCTGCTGAGAGGCCAGGGGTGCTTCTACGAAGCCTTCTCCAGTCCCCCTGCCCCCCTCTGAGCGTGGCCGATTAACGATCCTCCTGGGGGGAAGGCATTATGGTTTGGACGCCCGACATGGGTACGGAAAAAAAGGGTACAATGCCCAACGACGAATGCTGTCCCGAACCAACAGCGGCTGCTGTTGGGCAGGCGCCTTCTGTCTCGAATGGACACAGGCCGCGGCGGCGCGGACAGCGAGTCCTGTTCAAAATGAACCAGATCCGCTGTCGGGCATTGTACCGTACCCATTCTTTCCGTGCCCCTTTCGCGCGTGCAGATACGTAACGGGCGAAGAACGGTATAAAATAAACTTTTTCGCCGTCGGGGACACCTGCCCCGGGCGGGTGGACAGTTTATACCCCTACGGTGCCACCGTAAGGGTATAAACTTTCCAGCCGCCCTAGGGCAGGTGTCCCCGACGGCGAAAAAGTTTACTCTATACCGTTCTTCGCCCGTTGCATATCTGGGGCACCTCCGGCAACCCCCCGCGGGCCCCGCCTCGCGCCGGACGCGCCCCCCCCGCGCCGCGCACAGCCGGCGTCAGGCCGGCGCCCCGCGTATCACGAGGGGCGCGGGCTGGTCGCCTCGCGCGCGGCCCCTGCCCGCGCCAGGGTCGCCTCTCGCCCCGGCACTCCTCCTCCTCTTTCCTCCGCCTCCCTCCTCCGCCATGATCCTCCCTCCTTCCCCCTTCCTCCTTCCTCCCTCCCTCCTTCCTCCTCAACCTCCTTCTTCCTCCTTCCTCCTCGTCGCCCTCCTCCCTTCCTCCTTCCACCTCCTCCCTCCTCCTCCTCCTCCTCCTCCTCCTCCTCCTCCTCCTCCTCCTCCTCCTCCTCCCCTTTCGTCCATTCCTCCTCCACCTCCTCCCTCCTCCAGTCCATTTCCTTCCGAATGCCTCCCCCCTGTCGCGCCCCGAGGCCGGTCGGAATGGCGGGCCAGGCGTTCCGCCTCCGACCTCCCTACCGCTCGTGGTCATGAAACATACTATACGTCGGCAACAGCTTCACCAATGGGGGACGGGCAATTCTCAAGACGCGGCTCTCTCGCCTTGGAACCGCGCACACTCGTCTCGCTCATTTGCCAAGGAGCTTCACGCAAATCGAGGGCGGGCCGTTCTCAAAAACGTGGCTCTCGCATTGGCGCCGCGCACAGTTGCCATAAGTCTGGAGGAGCTTCGCGGCTTGAGGGCGGGGCCGTTTTCAAAATGCTGGTCTCGTTTGATCTCCGCGCACGCTCGTTCTAAGAATCTGCAAGGGTTCCGCACATGGAGGTTGGGCCGTTTTTTTTCAAACTGTGGCTATCGCAATCGCGCCGCGCACATTCGTTCTACAAACCGGTAAGAGTTTCACGGACTGAGGGCGGTTCGAATGGTGTCTCTCGCCTTAGCGCCGCGCACACTCGTCTTAAACATGCGCAAGAGGCTTCACCTATTCTCATGGTCAACATACCAGGAATTGTGTTGAAACGATTGAGGAATGTCAGGGCGCAACAGGTACGTCGATTCGCGGTGTTGAAGTCCCAGGAAAGGCGTTCTGGCACGGCTCAGGATCGTCAAGACGCAACAAGTTGGAGTCCCGAGATCAGTGAACTTGAACCCTTGTAGGGGCCCGTGAAGAGGGAGCTTGGAGGGAGGGTGTATTCCAACATCGTTCATGAGAATTGGGTTTGCACTGGTCCCTCCTCCCCCCTCCTCCTCCCTCTTCCTCCTCCCTCCTGATCCCTCCTCCTCCTCCTCCTCCTCCTCCTCCTCCTCGAGGATTTGACCCGAAGGTCCTCAGCAAGGCCGAGAAGGCCCAACGAGGCCGAGGTCAGTTCAGCGTCGGCACTGGCACCGCCACTGGGTCCTTCTCCTGCAGGTCCTCCTCCTCCTCCTCCTCCTCCTCCTCCTCCTCCGCTCTCGGGGGGCGGAGTGGGCCCGCGCCCAGGGGGGGGGGGGGGGTACTGGCTCGTAGGAGGGCTCAAAAGGCTTAAAGAGGCCTCTGGCGGGTTGGGGGCCCCAAACGGAGCCAGACGCTTCCACCAGTCTCCATCCTCACTCCTCGACGGGCGGGGGGGAGGAGGACAAGGGATTTGTCAACATCAGGAGACCATCGAGGAGATAACGCTCTCCCGCGCGTGCGCATGAAGGCTCGGTGCAAAGGATTGAAAGCATGAAAAGGAGGAGTAGAAGGGGGAGGAATGGGAATGGGGTCAATCACCATGTTATGAGGAGGAGGAGGGGGTGGAGGACGAGGAATGGGAATGGGATCCATGACCATGTCATGAGGAGGAGGAGATGGAGGAGGACGAGGAGGATATGGAAGAGGAGGAGGAGGAGGAGGAGGCGGAAGATGAGAAGGACGAGAACGAGGCGGGCCACCAGGCGGAGTGGGTAGAAGGGGTGAGGAGGAGGAGGAAGAGGAGGAGGAGGAGGAGGAGGAGGAGGAGGACGACGACGACGGCGGCGGCGGTGGCGGCGGCGGCATGCGACTGGAGGCCTTCGGGCCCCTCTGCAGCCCCGTAAGCGGGGCCGAGGGCCCCAGCTGCTCGCCTCCGCCCGCGCGCAGCGGCGGCGGCAGCAGAGCGAGTTCGTCGCCGTCGCCGTCTTTGGTGTCGCCTCCTCCTCCTCCTCCTCCTTCTCCTCCTCCTCCTCCTCTCCTCCTTTCTCGTTTCGGCGCCCCAGTTCAGGCTGCTGCTCGTCCGCAGCAGCCTTCGGCTGCAGCGGCTCCTCCCTCCTCCGCCTCCCCTCGCCGCCTGCACCTCCAATCTCCAAGCGAACGCGGGCCCCGCTCCTCCCACCTCCTCTCATCTTTCTCCTGCTCCTCTCCCTCCTCACTCCGATTCCTCCTCCTCCCTCTCCTCCTCCTCCTCCTCCTCCTCCTTGTTCCTCCTCTTCATCCTCCTCCTCCTTATTCTCCTCGTTTCGTAACTCGCTCAAACCATGAAAAATGAAAGGGGCACGCCCCCCGCGCGTAACCCTTCCTCCTCCTCACCCTGGTCCTCCTCGCCCTCGCCCCCTTCCTCCAGCGCGGCGCACAACATCGCGGCGACTGGTCCTTCCTGTCTAGGCGTCTAAGCCCCGGGGACATCCACTCCTTGGGGGCCCTCCAAAACCGTGTTGTGACAAACCGCGCGGTGACCTTGAAATCACAAGAGACCTCACCACACGGTCCGTCACCTCACGGTCTTAGGACGCTGGAAGCCCCGGTCGCCCGAGACGTCCTCGGAAAAGGACCCGAATTCCAAAACCGGGCGGTCACCCCGAACCCCTACCGACTCACATCACGGTGTGGTCAAGTCGGATCGGCGATCGAAATGAACCGGATCGGCGGAAATCGGCAGCCGAATCGGGAGAAGTTGCATCGGCGGAAATCGGCATGCTAGCAGGCCTCCCTTGAGAACGCGAATCGGAGCCCGAAACCGTCGAGATCGAATCGGATCGGGTCGGAGCAGGCGGGGCTGAGCCCTGGCCCAGAGGGGCCCCCGAAGCACGGCCCGGGCTGTGCGAAAGGTCCCCAGGGCCAACGGAGTCACAGGCGCTGCTGGAGCTGGCGGCTCGGTGCAGAGCTGTGTCGTCCGAGGCCCGCGGAGGGGCCTCCTCCCGCCTCCTCCCGCCTCCCGCCGCCTCCCGCCTCGACACCTCCCGCCTCCCCCCCCCTCCTCCTCCTCCTCCTCCTCCTCCTCCTCCTCCTCCTCCTCCTCCTCCTCCTCCTCCTCCTCCTCCCCACCCCCTGTCCCGCTAACATCTCGACGAGTTCCCCTCCCCTCCTGTCCTCCCACCCCCATCCCTCCTCCTCCACCCCACTCCCTCCTCTTTCCCCTTCCCCTTCCTCCTCCCCTCCTGGCTCTCCCTCCTTCAGTCCTCTCCCCAGCCCCCTCCTCATTTCGCCTTCCCTCCGCCTTCCCTCCCGCAGAGACTGCTGGGCCCAGGAGGGAGCCTGGGCATGCGAGTGGAGTCGCTGCCTTCGGCCGCCCAGCCTGTCCCAGCACTCTGGGTCGGGGGTGGCTGGGCTCTCTGCGACCTGCGAGGGGTCCGAACGTATCGCTTCCCCCGAAGCCCTCCTTCGCCGCCTCGGCCACCCACGCTGCTTACCAGCCTCGAACGTATCCCTATCCCTAAGATTGACACGCCAAAAGGCGATGCCAATCTTAGGGATTCGCCCTCAAAGAATAAGGGAATCCCTGAGATCGGCATCGTGATGAGGAGGTGCCCAGCATAGGGATGGGGATGGATATGTTCCAGGCTGGCAAGCTGCCTCGGCCTCCTGGGGGTCGGGGCCGCCCGGGGCCATGGCCGCGGGGGGCACCCTCGGCCTGGGAGCGGGCCCGGCCACGCAGCGGGGGGGGGGGCGCTCTCCTCGGGGGGAGACGCGGGGCAGGCGCCAGACTTCAGCAGTCCCCTCGCTCCCGGGCTCGATCCGTCCGGCCGCAGGGTGGAAGAAGAGGGGATCTGGGCGCCCGAAGTGCCGAAGTGGGTGCGGAACAATGGGTTGATACACTGCCCGCCAGCACATGTTGCTCAAAACCGACAGCGGCCGCGGACAGCGAGTCCTGTTTTTTTCAAACCGAGCTTGAACAGGAACTGCTGCTGGGCATCGTTCCCATTCTTTCCGTGCCCATGTCGACCGCCCCGAGGGAAGGGGACAGGTCCCCAGATGAAGGGGCCCCAGGACACACAAATAAATACACACAAATAAAAAAGATTCCCCATATGTTCTTGGTGTTTGTCTTCCCCACCACTTCCCATATTTTCCCATATGTTCTGGGGGATCGACGATTCATTGTGTCTGTGTGTATGTTTTTGTTTCCCTCCTGACCAGAGCCTTCTTCACGGAGGCCTCTTCCCGCAGTTTTCTGGGCGTCCAGGGTCTGGGGAAAAACTGGGGCCGCTGCGGCTGGAGCCGAGCCTGGGCCTGGGAGCGGATGCGGCCGATCACCGCCTGCCACGCGGGCAGGCTGCGGTGTGCCTTGCACGGACTGGCGGATGACCCTGTCGGGCGGCCATGTATCGAGGAATGGGCCCCTCGGTGAGGCCGAAACCAGCTGCATGCAACAAATTTCGTAACCCCCCCCCCTTTCGCCCGGCCCGACCCTGGGGCCGATCGGTCTGGAGCTCCTTCCCTGCATCCGCGCGCAGGGCCTCTCTGGTGTGTGGGTCCACCTCGGCAGGCCTTCGGGCTCCAGGCGACGGCTGGAGAAGCCGGATTTTTCCCCCCTCTCGCTTGATAGGGGGCCACATTCCCGAGCGAAGTGAACCCCACCCTCCCCCTCAGAAATCGTGGGGGGCAGGGGCAGGGTTCGCATGTGGCCCTCTCGCTCGAGCTGCTTCCGAAGGGGGATCGGGCGCGGAGGCAAGCCGCGGCCATGCCGAGGAAGGTTCTCCTCCCGGCAGCCCGCCGGTTGCTGTTCCCGCAGCGCCGCACTCACCGCCCACAGTGGCCGCCATCCATCCATTTCATCTGCTGCACCTTCTCCTCTGCCTCCTCCTTTATCCTCCCCCCCTCCCTCCTCCTCCCTCATCCTGCTCCTTGCTCTCACTCCGTCTCTCCCTCCCTCGCGCTCTCCCTCTCCACTACAGTCGGGGCGTTGACCTAAGGAACCCTAAATCAGGAACGAGGCGCCTTCTTTCACTAAGTTCAACTTCGGTTTCCTATCGGAAACATAGGGGAAACCTGAGGCGAGCTGTGAAACACTTAGGGAACGCGGAGCCCCTCCCCAACGAAAAGGAGTCCTTCTTCAGGGCCCCGACTGTACTGCAGACACTTCGAGCAATCAAGACAACAGCACGCGAAGGCTGCAGAACTCTAGAAACTGCCAGGCTGCGACGTCCGAACCCTGCCCCCACCAAACACCGATTCTCCTGCATCGATGGGAGGCGGGGGAAGGGTTCCTATAGCGCCACGTCTTCTTCGAACTCCGACCCGTCCCGAGACGACCATCAAATTGCCTGAAGCGCTGATCGGTGAGGGTAGGGTTCGCATCTCGCCGCGGAATATACTGCAAAAACCTCCGCTGTTCTGCTCCCCTCCTCCTCCTCCTCCTCCTCCTCCTCCTCCTCCTCCTCCTCCTCCTCCTCCCCCTCTTTCTTTCGGCGCAGCTGAAGGTGCGCGGCCAGCAGGATGTGATGACCGAGAGTCAGAGAGCATGCAAGTTGTCATCTTGGGTTGTGGTGCTGCGCAGAGCTGTGACAAAAAGTCTGAGCCGCGAACGCGAGCCATGGCCTCAGCGACGAAGGAAAACACGACGTCGACCTCCTCGCCCCTGCCTCCTATCTCCTCGTCCCTGCCTCCTCAATTCTTCTTCCCTCCCCTCCTCCTCACCCCATCCTCCCTCCCTGCCTCCGCATCCTCATCCCCTCCCTGGCCATCGCTCGGACGTCCATTCCCTGTTTTTTTCGGTGTCGTTCGTGTTTTTTTCGCCAAAGGATCAAGGCTGCTCCTCGATGGTCGTCGCCGAAGGAAAAATGCACACGTCCGAGCGATGCCAAGCTCCCCTCCCTCCCTCCCTTCCCATCCCATCCCTGAATCGCGCGCGCACGCTCCAGGGGCGGGAGAGCAGCGCTGGAGGGAGGAGGAGGGAGGAGAGACGAAGAGGCGGGAGGAGGCGGGAGGGGGAGGGAGGAGGGAGGGAGGAGGGGGAGGAGGGAGGATGGGGAGGGGGAGGGGGGACGAAGAGGCGGGAGGAGGAGGGAGGAGGGAGGAGGAGGGAGGAGGGAGCGCGAGGGGCAGGGGGGGGCAGGCATCAAGATGCGGAGGAAGGGAGGCAGGACTCTGCTTACTGTGGGCACCGGCGGGGACCCCCCCTTGGCGGACACTTGAGGCCTCCAAGGCGGGGTCCGAGTAGATGGGGTCGGAAGATCGCCGCTCCTCGCGAACGCATCGGCGATGCATCGGCGATGCACCCGCGAGGTCCGCGATGCATCGGCGACGTCGTCGTGGAGAAACTCGGGCTCCACATCGAGCCGCATCGCCGATGCATCGGCGATGCGGCGAGATCCTCCGACCCCATCTACAGTCGGGGCGTTGACCTAAGGAACCCTAAATAAGGAACGAGGCCCCTTTTTCCATAAGTTAAACTTCGATTTCCTATCGGAAACATAAGGAAAACCTGAGGCAAGCTGTGAAACACTTAAGGAACGCGGAGCCCCTCCCCAACCAAAAGGCTTCCTTCTTCAGGGCCCCGACTGTACTCCGACCCCGTCTAGGGAGACCTGGAGACACGGCCAGCGGGGGCACGAGCCCTCGGAGGCGCCGGCGCCGTGCAGCGCCGTCGCCTCGCGCGCGCGCGTCTGCGGAGCGGGGAGAGAGCCCCGCCTCTGCCTTCGCCCGTGCTCCCTCTCTGGGCGGCGGCATCCGAACCCGCATCCCCCCCGCCAGCCATCGGTTCTCCTGCATCGATGGGTGGTGGACCTGTTCTCCCCCGCCACCAGCATAAGTGGGAGGGGGAGGTCCTCCTCCTCCTCCTCCTCCTCCTTCTCCTCCTCCTCCACCTCCACCTCTGTTCTCCCTTTCAGTTATGGTGGTGGTGGTGGTAAACGGGCCCATCAATTCTCCTGCATCGATGGGGGGCCGGGGTGGGGTTCGGCTGCCGCCACCTGCAGACGTCGCCCAGCAGCTCCAAGAGCTGTGCGGCGCCCGCATGCGGTCTTCCCGATGGTCCGACCGTGTTCCACGACTTCCGAACCCTACCCCTAAGTCGGGCCTGTCCCCCTACAGGGGGATTTTCGACGAAGCAAAATTCAAAAAATACCCCACAAATAATCAAAACATAGTCCAAAAATAGTCTGGGGACTATTTTTTGAATATGTTTTGACCTTTTCGGTGTATTTTGGGGGCATTTTTTATTTTTGTCGAACATTCCCTTGTAGGGGGACACGCCCGACATAGCCCTGCCCCCGCCGCCCATGTAGCTGCCCGAAGCGCCGATCGGCGAGGGTTGGGCTCGGAACTCGCCGCCGACCTTCGTGCGCAGACTGGGGAAAAAAACACACAGTGGGGAAAACACACACACACTCACACACACACAACACACACACTGTGGGGAAAACACACACACGTGTGTGTGTGTGTGTGTGTTTTTCTTCCACGTGTGTGTTTTCCCCCCCACTGTGTTGTTTCCCCACAGGTGCGTTTTGTCCCCACAGGCTCGCGTCGCGGAAGAAGACCAGCAAAAAACAACGGGGGTGCCTCCGACCGCTTCTTCGAACCCTGGGGGGGCCCTCGCCGGGCCCCAGGACCGCCACAGAACGACTCGGACCGGCCCTGGGGGAGCGGGCCGGACTTCCGAGGGCCACGCGTGGAAGAAGCCGAGGCATCGCATGTCGGGGTCGATGCCCTCGTCTCAAGGGGCCCAAGGACACACAAATAAATACACACAAATAAAAATACGCCCCACATTTTCCCATATTTTCTATGTTTTTGTCTTCCCCCCCACTGCCCGTATTTTCCCATATTTTCGGAAAAATCGACGATTAATTGTGTCTGCGTGTTTTTTGCCCTCCTGATCGTCGTTGTCCTCGTCGGTCCTCCTCCGAGCTTCTGGGCGCGGTGGAGCCGCCTCGCCATCGGCAGCGTTCCTGGCGCGGCCAGAGGGACGGCTGCTGGCCGACGAGGCTGGCACGGCTCGGATTCCCCCGAAGGTCAAAACCAACAGAAATCGGTTGCCCTCCTCATCGTCCTGCTCGTCCTCTTCTTCCTCTTCCTTTTTCTCTTTCGCTTCGCACTCCCCGTCGTGCCACGTTTGATCCACAACTGCTCTCGAGCACGGGGCCAGCCTCGCTCCGGGCAAGGGCAAGTCGTGGGTGCTTCTGCGTCGATGCGAGCTACCATCTGCTAGACACAACGAAGCCAGAACGTCCAACGGGCGGGGGGGGGGGGTTGGCTGGAGGGGGGGGGGCAAATAAAGCCCAAGCCGCCCCCTGCGGAAAGGGGAGGGGACGGGAAAGGAGGCAAAGGCGGAGACTCGGGGGAAGGGCAGAAGAGAGGAACTCGTCGTCGTCGTCGTCGTTCTCCTTCTCCTTCTCCTTCTCCTTCTCCTTCTCCTTCTCCTCCTCCTCCTCCTCCTCCTCCTCCTCCTCCTCCTCCTCCTCCTTCCTCTCCCTCCTCATATTCCTCCTTCTCCCTCCACTCCAGTTGCGCGGGCCCCCCGACGCCGGTGGCTTAGGCGGGAAAAGGTACTGCACTCAGGCATCGTTGGGGAGGGTAGGCAGGGCTCAGCAGGCAGCCGCTCATGCCTCTGCGTCGAGTAGTCGGCAGCGTGGGTCGAGGCTTTGCATTGTCTGATATCCGCCGATCTGATGTTTGCCAATCTGCGGTCACAAGTCCCGACCCCTTCCCTGGGAGTGGTTTCGTCCCGGACCAATGCGTGATGGCCCCAGCGTGCGAAAACAACCCCAAAAGGCCAAAATCCATTGAACAACCAGAGCAACAACAAAAACAATGATCGGAGATCTGGGTCCCCTTGACACTCTTCTCTCGGCCTCCGCCTCAGCTTCTTCTGTCTCCTCGATCTCCTCGGCCGAGACAACGAAACAATTTCGTCCCCCTCGCTCCCTCACCTCCCCCTCCTCGAACTCGCCGGCCTCCCCCTCATTCTCCCCGTCCTCCTCCTCCTCCCCATCCTGCTCGTCCGCTTCCTCCGCGTCCTCCTCCTCCTCCTCCTCCTCCTCCTCCTCTTCCTCCTCCCCCCCAACAGCTCCACCTTGTAAGCAACTCCTCCTCATTGCACCACGAAGCGTGTCGGCAAGCACGGCCAGGTGGATCGCCCTCAAACTTCTCGCAATGTTATAACCTCGGAAATTGGGTCCTGCCTTACGTAGGACTTCCGTGGTGAAAAATACTGTTGCTATGGTTATTGTTTGTTGTCGCGGTCGTCGTCCTCGCATGCATCCCGGCTGCAACCCGCCCGCTACCCGGCCGCGAGCCGCCCACTGCCAACCCGACACCCACCCGCGAACCCCTCACATTGTGTTGACGAGCATTCGGCGCTTGCGGCGGGCTCGTGTAATGACCACCCCAAATCTGCAGCTGCGATGGGCTTCTGAAGAGCCTCGCAGACTCCGCCGCCCCCGCACTCCTACCCGCAACTGCTGGGGGATCCCAAGAGGCCCCAACGGGGCCATCAAGGGTTCCCCAAAGAGGCGCCCAAGACGCCACGGCCCCCAAGAGGCATCACAACTGCCTGCACGAGGCCTCCGAGAGGCCCCACGCGACATCGCCACGAACATCTTAGGGGACTATGACCGAAAACCCAGGCACGATGGCGGGGAGGGCCGAAGGCAACTGGATATATGCACACCAAACAGGAACAAACTCAAACATCAAAGTTCGATCCTCTTCCTCGGTGCTCGGCGCTGCGGGCACGAATTGTGGAGATAACGCGTTTCACGGGCGCTTGTCTTGGGACAATTCGGCGGCGCGTTTCGAACCGGGGGGAGGTCCCCCCCCAACACTCGGCTCCGTCGATCAAAACCAGGGGGACCCCCCTCCCCCTCTACAACCCCCGTTCCCGAATCCCCCCCTCCCAAGGGTTCAACCCCGCGCCCCCCCTGGCGCCGAGGGGGGGGGTTCAACCCCCCCCCCGGCGCTGGCGACGGCGGGGACGCAGCGACGATAACCACCACTACCACAACCACCACCACCACTACCACTACCACCACCACCACCGCCTCAACCTACCACCACCACCTCCAACCCACCCCACAACCACCACCACCACCACCACAGCCACCACCACCACAACCACCACCACCACAACTCACCATCACCACCACAAAAACCCACCACCACTACCACCACCACCACCACAATCTACCACGCTACCACCACCACCGCCACACACACCACCGCTACCAACAGCACAACCCACCACCACCACCACAAACCACCACGCCATCACCACCACCACCGCCACCACCACCACCACCAGCACCACTTCCACAAACCACCGCCACCACCACACCCATCACCACCACCACAAACACACACCACCACCACCACCCACCACCCACCACCACGACCCACCACACCACCACCACCACCACCACAAACCACCACCACACCACCACCACACCACCACCACACCACCACCACCTCAACCACCACCCACCACCACAACCACCACCACCACCACCACACACCACCACCACCACCACCGTCGTCCTCGTGGAACCTCCCCGCCGCCGCCGCCCGCCGCCACAGGTACCAGCGCCGGCCCAGAAAAAAAAAAGTCGTCGTCCCCGCCGCCGCCGCCGCCAGCCGAGGAGAGGGAGAGAGGCGAGGTAATGGGGGGGGTCGAAAGCACACCCCCCTCCGTCACAGGGGGGGGGGTCGAAAACCCCCCCTCCATCGAGCGGGGGGGTCCGGTTCCCCCCCCCCCCCGCCAAGCGACCACAGAACGCGCTCTTTCGAATTGTGACACAATGCTGCCCTGCTCGCACTTCCGCCCGAAGCGGCCTTCGCCGCTGGGGGGGCGGACGGCAAGAGGACAACATAGAATAATAGTAATGTAAGATGACGAATAAAAAACATTATATGGGGGGAACGATTCACACAATAGCTTCCGCATGTTCGACTTCCGCTTCGCTTCGGCTCCGTTTGGCCCGTCGACCGTCCGAGCGCGCGCCCGAGGAAGGCGGCGAGGAACGATCCAACAAACAAATCCCGGCTCGGGGCCGCTCTTTCTACTCATCATCCAGGGTGGCACCGCGTGAACACGACCACCGGCAATTTCTGAACCATCATCCTGCACTACAGTCGGGGCGTTGACCTAAGGAACCCTGCATAAGGAACGAGGCCCCTGTTTCCCATAAGTTCAACCTCGATTTCCCATGGAAAACCTCAGGAAAACCCGAGACAAACTGTGAAATATCCAAGGAACACCGAGCCCCTCCCCAACGAAAAGGGTTCCTTCTTCAGCGCCCCGACTGCAGGGCAGCGCGGTGGAGAAGGGGCACCCAGCGAGAAACCAGCGCACTGCCGAGGGGGACGCAGGAGATCCGCGCCCCCCGTGGGCCCCAAGGTGGGTCGCCAGCGTGGGTCCCGGGGGAGGCCTCGCGTTCAGTGCCGGCGGCACCAGCTAGAAGGCCTTCGCAGACAAGCAGCAAAACAGCGCACGGCCGGGGGACGTACCGTCGGAGCGTTGACCCAAGGAACCCTAAATAAGGAACGAGGCCCCTTAGATGCACAAGTTGGACTGCGATCTCCCATGAAAAACCAAAGCAAAACCCAAGGCAAAGTGTGAAGCAATCAAGGAACACGGAGCCCCTCCCCAACGAAAAGGGTTCCTTCTTCAGGGCCCCGACTGTAGAGGAACAACAACGCTGCATGAACATACCTTCTCGAAGGTCCGCGCGGACCTCTTGGATCTGCACTGGGCCCCCCTCCCTGGCGCGCTGAGCGCGCTGGGGGGGGCGGCGCCAGAAGCACCGCCAGGAGGGAGGGGCCCGAAGCCGATCTAAGAACCCCGAGCGGACCCCGAGAGAAACTCTGCGACTGCGATCGCTGCTCTTCGAGGCCAACCAAACGGCTTCTCCTCCACATCCGAGAGGACGCAGCGCTGGGCTGCCGCGGGCGCGGCGGGGGTGTCTCGGCGGGCCTCGGGCGCGCCGGAGTCGGACCCGTGGAGGTCGTCCTCCTGCGGGGGCGCCGGCGCCGCCGGCGCCGCCGACGCTGGCGCAGCCGAGGCTGCCGCCGCCGAAAACGCCCCCGTGGCCGCCGACGACGCCGCCGACGACGACGCCGACGACGCCGCCGACGACGACACCGACCTCCACAACGTCGGCGGCGGCGACGCCAACGCCGACGACGACGGCGGCGGCAACGAAGGCGGCGACGGCGCCGACGATGCCCACGAGAAGCCCCTGGAGGAGAGCGCCGCCGCCGCCAACGCTGACACCAGCGCCGACAGACGAAGGTCGTGCCTGCTGCCGCGCGCTCCCGGTCGCGAGTGCCCGAAGCGAGAGCGCGTCGGGGGGGGGGGGGGGGGCAAAGGGGGTTGGAGGGGGGAGGGGAAGGAGGAGGAAGGAGTAGGAGGAATGAAGGGGCCCTGGGACACACAAAAATAAATACGCACTAACAGAATGGTTCCCTGTATTTTCCCATATGTTCTGGGTTTTTGTCTTCCCCCCCACTTCCCATATTTTCCCATAGTTTCTTGGGGATCGTCGATTAACTGTGTCTGCGTGTTTTTTCTCCTCCTGAGAGGAAGGATGTGGGAGGAGGCAGGAAGGAGGGAGGAGCGAGGAGGGGCACGGGAGCCTGGGGAGAACGGGGGGGGTGAGGGCGCGCCGACCGAGGGGAAAGGGGCCGGGAAGCGGGGAGAGGGGGCGCGGCGTGGCCCGGAGGCGTGTGCGCGGACAAGGGAGGCCCTGGAGGGGGACGCCTGGGAAGAGGAGGCGGGGGCAATGAGATCCGGGAGACCTGGTGGCCCTGGCGATGCGAGTCACACATATATATATATAAATATATAAAATGTATATATATATATAGCAACACACACACACTCACGCACGCACGCACGCACGCACGCACGCACGCACACACACACACGCACACACACACACACGTACACACACAAACGCACGCACGCCCGCACGCACGCACACACACACATACACATATATATAAATATATATATATATGTATGTGTATGTATATATACATATATATATAGCAACACACACACACACTCACACACTCACGCACACACACACACACACATACACACACACACAAACGCACGCACGCACGCACGCACGCACGCGCGCACGCACGCACGCACGCACGCACGCACCGTAGGCCCCCCGGAACCCAAAGATAGTAAAGAACCGTCCGTCGTGTTGTTTGTTCACGGCGCGAGGGGGCCAGGGCTTGAGGGTCAAACACCGATCCCTGGACTTGTCCTGGGTCGCACTCCAGCCAGAACTTCGAGGCGGGTCCAGCATCTGGCCGCGGCGACGAGGAGCCCCTAGAGGCCCCCTAGAGGGGGAACCGGAGTCGAAGAGTCCAAGCTCGAACCTTCGGCGGTCATCGCTGGTGGACAAATCCCCCTTTAGTAAACCACCCTTCAGTGAAAACGGCCTAAGACCGAAACCAGCGGACCTGGACCCGCAAAATGACGGACGCGACGCCCTCTCGCGAACCGAAAGCGGCCAATTCCTGAATCGACGTGTCAGGGTAGGAGGTCTGTCCACCCCCGGAAGTCAAAGCTCGAACCTGGAACTTCCGAGCCTCGAGCCTTCGAACCTCGGCGTCGGGGCTCCATCGGAGCCTGGGCCGGGGGGATGCCGACGGGGGCAGCGTAAGCCCAGGCGCAACCCAGCCCATGCCCGTGCGGGGAGTGCGTGAGGTCCTCCGGGGGCCAGCCTTCCTCGGCTTTACAGTTGCGGATGCCACGACAATGGACACCCTAACAGTCCTATCATTGAAATCAAAATGGGCTGAACATGTCGGAAACATGTTCTGAACATGTTTTAAACATGTTTTTAAACATGTTTGAAACATGTCTAACACATGTTTTAGACATCTGGAAATTATTTGGCAACATGCTTCCTCTCCATAGATCGTTCTACACAAGGCCAGCCTTCCTCGGCTTCACAGGCCCTTGGGGCCCCCCGAATCCTGGCCCTCCTGGCGAGGTCAGGGGGGGGGCGAGTCGTGTTTGTTCCTCCGCGCCCATCGGCCACTCTGGCGAAGGCGCCCCACATCTCACGCAAAGCGGACGTGTGGACCAAATCTACTCCACACGTCCGCTGGTTGTATTGGGGGGTGCGGCGCGCAAGAGGTGTATTGCAGATTTTCCTCGCAGGGCCAGATAATCCCTGCATCTGTTCCAGGAGGCGTTCTGGCCAGCATTTTGGGGCGGATCGCGCCGCGGCGACGAGGACCCCCTTGGAGGACCCAAGGACGGCGGACAACAGCCAAAGTCCGAACCTGGAACTTTCGAATCTCGAAGTTCGATTCGGATTCGGCTCCACGACTAGGTCAGGTCGAACAGGCGCGGGCCAAAATGCAATTGCAAACGCAACTATTAAAAACCGGTGCGCTTCATTCGCACACCCATGTCTTCATCCATCTGGACACCAATCTTTTCACCCGTGAATGAGTCATGTAACTCACACGACAAAATTGGGCATCCAACCTCGAACCTTCAAACCTCGGCCTGAGCCCATAACACACTCTGGGCGAAGGCTCACTTTGACCGCTCCGCCCAAAGGAGGGGACGCGTCCAGGAGTGGGGCGTCCAGGAGAGGGTTCGTGAAATCATGGCCCGAGGCACGTGCGCGGCCAGTGGCAGGGGAAGGTGACAGATGGAAAGAGAAAGAAGAAGAAGAAGAAGAAGAAGAAGAAGAAGAAGAAGAAGAAGAAAACGAAAAATAAGTGAATACAACAACGGTGCCCATGCACCGTATCATTGTTGGGCTCCATTGAAGCCCCGCTCCAAAGTGGTACGGTACATAGCTTCTCGGCTCTGATGGCCGAAAAACTGTTAGCCGTACCATTCCCGAGTCGGGGATCGATAACCCCTCGGGAGACGTCGACGCGGTGCGGTGCACACACGTCGTCCGCGGAAGGCCGTGCAATGTGGGGGGAATAACATGGCCCGGCCATGATATGCCCCCCAGCCATGAGATCCTCCCTAGTCATCACCCCCTAGTGTTAGGGCGGGCATGTTCTCCTAGTAGCGGATTTTGGACGGAAGATGGAATGGAAACTGGTCCAACAATCATCGAACACAGTCAAAAATAATAAAACAAATCGTCCCCATACTAGTTCTGACCTACTGATGAATATTCGCCCTGTAGAGGGACATGCCCGACTTAGCCATGGTGCCATCGTCTGTCTTCGTGCTCGTCTTGGCTCCCTCAGGATGGCCCGGGAGGATCCGATCAAGGGGCCCAAGGATACACAAATAAATACACACAAGCAAAATGATGCCCCATATTTTCCTATATTTTCTAGGTTTTTGTCTTCCCGCCCAATTCCCATATTTTACAATATTTTCTTGGGGATCGACGATTAATTGTGTCTGTGTGTTTTTCCCCTCCTGATCCGCGATGGCCCCGAGTCTCCGGCCCTGGCCTCGCCGAGAGAAGATGCACACGTGCGCGCAATGCCAAGGCACACCCCCCTCTCGTGGGCGGCCGCGGGGCCCGAGCTCGCGCGGGGCCTCAGAAGAGCTGCCCGGGAGGGACTGGCCGTCGCGCTGGGACGCACAGTTCCCGTGCCTTTGTTCGGCTCCGGGCGTGCAGTTTTCCGCTCGCGGATCCAGGAGGTTCCTCTCAGAGGTCCTCTCGCCGAGGAAGAAAAACACTCGCGTCCGAGCGATGCCAGGAGGAGGGGGGAGGCCACAGCCGGTCAAAAACCGTCCCCGGACCCCTCCAGGCGTCCAACGGGTGCAGTTCTCCCCCCCGGGATCGGTCTGAGAACGGCCCCGCGAGGCCCGCGAGCGGCCCCCCTGGCGCAGAAGGAGATAGAAAAAGGCTCCCCGCACCCGGCGCCTCGAGCCTGCCCGCCCTTCGCCTGCTGGCCAGGAGCCAACGCTGGGCCACCGTCGACACCCCAGGCGGACTCCGACCCCCCCAGGTCCAGATCCAGCGCTTGTGGCCGGCTTCCTGAAATCCCATCGGGCGCTGGATATGGATATGGATATGGATCTGGATACGGATATGGAAATGTGTATGTACAGGTGTGTGTGTGTGTGTGTATATATATATATATATGTATTGGCCCTGGGAGGCAGGAACATATCCACATCTACCGCCTGCCGAGGTCCCCAGAAGATCGATCCCCACGGCGGTAGTTGCGCATACATCCCCTGTCTCGGCCTCTCGGCCGCCCCCACCCATGACGTTCCAGGAGGGCTGTCAAATAGCACCAAGGCCTCGACATCTCCCTCCCACTCGAGGTTTTAAGCAGTCCAGGTCGGTCATCAGGTCTGGAGTGCTACTTCTCTGCGCTCTGGAAAGTTAGTTCGGAGAGGGGGGGAAGGCGGAGGAGGGGCGAGGCTGGGGATCCAGAGCAACGGTTCCTCGCACCGCGAGAGGGGGCAGAGATTGAGACTGAGACTGAGACTGACTACCTCGAATCCCGAGGGAAACGCTCGGCACAGCGGCCGCAAAGAGAGGCCTATAACAGCGATAAATCTTCAGCACACCCCACACAATAGTGGAAACGAATTATCTTCTCGCGACCTTATTCCGTGATTGGGGTCCCACCAGTGATGGAAAACAAAGAGCAGGAGGAGGAGGAGGAGGAGGAGGAGGAGGAGCGAATTTCCTCCCAGCCGAGAGAAACATGGGGGGGGGGACTTCAACACGGAAGACCTCCTTCGGCTGTGTCTGGACTGCTGGTATTTTCTGGCACTCTGGAGAGTCACGGGAGGCAGGAGCACCGCGGCTGGAGGCCTCCCAGATGGTCGGAGCAGATGGGGGTCGAAGGATCGCGCCGCACCGCCGATGCATCGGCGACGCATCCGCGACGTCGGCGTGGACAAAGTCGGGCTCCACATCGAGCCGCATCGCCGATGCACCGGCGATGCGGCGCGAGCCTCCGACCCCGCCCCCTCCGACCCCACCTGGGAGGCCGGCAAAGGCAGGGGCACCGATTCAGACGCCCGAAATGGGTACGGAAAGGATGGGCACAATGCCCAACAGCAGACGTTGTCCCAAACCAACAGCGGCCGCTGTTGGGCAGGCGGCCTTCTGCCTCCAATGGACACAGGCCGCGGCGACACCGACAGCGAGCCCTGTTCAAAACGAGCAGAAACTGCAGTTGGGCATTGTACCCACTTGAGGGGCAACGATAGGGGGGGACTGGCATAGGAGGGATGCATCGACCTGGCATCGGCGATACATCGCCGATAGATCGGCGATAGACCCCGATCGTGAATCCGCACCTTCCTGGGCGAGTTGGGGCTATCGGGCCTCTATCGGCGATCAATGGGCGATTGGGGGTCGATGCATCCCCCCCTAATTATGCCTATCGACGTGTCAGGGTAGGTCTATCAACCTCCGATGATGTTGGGCATAATACCACTCTGAGAGAACGGCAGACGCCCGCCTGGCTGGGGCGCTGTGACTCCCGTCCCTTAGGAGGCGGAGGAGGAGGAGGAGGAGGAGGAGGAGGAGGAGGAGGAGGAGGAGGAGGAGGCAGGCAGGAGGAAGGGACGACGACGATGAGGATAAACGGAGGAGGGAAGGCTGGGAGGAGAGGAGGAGGAGGAGGAGAGGAGGAAGAGGAGGAGGAGGAGAGGAGGAAGGGAGGAGGAGGAGGAGGAGGAGAGGAGGAGGAGGAGGAGGAGAGGAGGAGGAGAAGGAGGAGGAGGAGGAGGAGGAGGAGGATCGAAGGAAGAGGAGGGGGCGGCGCGGGCGGCCTCCCGCGGCCCCGGCCGCGGGCGCAGGCCGCGCACCAGGGCGTAGAGCAGCGGTAGTGACCTCGCGGGGGCCGCCGGGCCCGGCGAGCGGCCGCCGCGTGGAGGCCCCGACTCCTAATCTGCCTCCTCTTCCTCTTCCTCCTCCTCCTCCTCCTGAAATCATGTTCCCGGAGACGCTTCCGGGGGCAGGATTTCGAACGATGCCGAAACGACTGGGTCCAGGGTGGCTCTGCGCACGCGGACAGCGTCGCCGCCGTCGGCGCGGCCGTCGTCGTCGTCGCCGTCGATCGTCGATCGGCGACGTCGTCGGGGCGTTGACCTAGGGAACCCTAAATCCCGAGTCGCCCAAAGATCGGCCGAAAACGCCCAAGATATAGCCCCAAGACCGTCCAAGAAGCCTCCAAGACGTCCCAGGCCCCCTCCAAGAGACCCCCAGGAAGCCCCAAGAGGCCCCCACGAGACTTCCAAGCGGCCCCTAAGAGCTTCCCAAGAGGCCCACAAACTCGTCGTCGTCGTCGTCGTCGTCGCCATTCAGGGTCGGCGGCACCGGCCGTAAGGCCTTCGCAATAAGGAACGAGGCCCCTGTTTCCCTTACCTTAAACTTCGATTCCCCATGGGAAACCAAAAAAAGGAGCCAAGGCAAACTGTAAAACCGTCAAGGGACACCGAGCTCCTCCCCAACGAAAATGGTTCCTCAGTCAGCGCCCCGACTGTACTCTGGCTTTTTTCCCAACTTGAGTTTGCGTCGGAAATCCACCTAGAGGAAGCCGAAAAAGTAGGGCGGAAATTTCTGCACCCAGCATAACGTAGGGCGGAAACCCACAGAAGTAGGGCGGAAACAGCAACAGGAAAGTAGGGCGGACATTGGAAGCTTGGAAATTGGCACCAACACCAACATCAGGGGTTGCCTCCACGGGGGGAAGATGATCCTGGCTTTTGTTGTTGGTGGTAGTCTTTCGGCCACCTAGACAGCCCGAACATTACCACCATCGCCTGGATCGGGATCATCTTCCCTCGGTGGAGGCACGCCGCCGACATTGGTGCTGGTGCCAGCCTCTGGGCCTCCGAGCCGCGGGCGGGGGGGGGGCGCCGGCGAGCCCCCGAGGCCTGGGCGCTGCAGCGTGCGGTGGCCACTCCTCGGGGGCCATCTCGCCGGCTCTTCTGCGCATCGACGCCGATCGACGCTGACTCGACGCTCGTCGGCCCCAGATCGACGCCGCATCGGCGCCGGCGAGCGGCCGCCACGGGCGGGGGGGGGGCGCCGGCGAGCCCCCGAGTCGGGTCGGGCGGAAGGGGGGGGGGCGGCAGCAAAGGCGAAAGGGTGGGGGGTAGCAAAGGGAAGGTTCGAGAATCAGCTCACGTAATCAGCTGTTTTTCCTGGCGCCTCCCGGCGCTGGAGGCGGCCATGTATCGAGGAATGGGCCCCTCGGCGAGGCCGAGACCAGCTGCATGCAGCAAATTTCGTACACCCCCCCCTTTCCCAATCCCGCCCTTTCGTTCGGCCCGACCGAGGCCTGGGCGCTGCAGCGTTCGGTGGCAACTCCTGGGAGCCTCCCATGCCAGTTTGTCGGCTCTTGCGAATCGACGCTGATCGACGCTAAAGCGACGCTAGTCGGCCCTAACTCGACGCTAATCGACGCGACTCCCGGCTGCAATATCTCATAGCGGTAACAGAAGACCTGCCTCGCGCGGCCGGCGTTCTCAGCCTGGGAACCCTGGGCCCTCAGGGAAACGATCTTCTCTGTCTCTGCATTGGCCTGTTCTTCTCGATCCAACCTCGTGGATGGCAAGAGCCTTATTCTGCTGGGTTCTGACCACATACTCAGCCCTGAATTTCGGCATGTGCGTGTTCCTCGCCTCGGCCATTACTGCCTCGCCACTCCTAGCGACTGCCGTCTCGACCGCTCGGGTAATCATCTTCCTCAGCTTCCCTCATTCGGTAAGCCAGCGCATCATTCTCTACATCACTTAGGCGACGCTCTGGGCTCAAGCGGGCTTCCATTTCGTGTGTTTGTTGCAGTCTGTGCTCGATCCGGGGTGGCCTTCACCTCAGCGCAGCCCAAACCGGGCTAGCTTGAAGGAATTCGTTAAGATTAGACTGCACATGACGGATCTGCCCTTCGAATCAGTCCCAGGTCCGAACCAAGGCGAACGCTGCATTTTGTACTGGGCAACTTCCCATGTGGGTTGTCTCATGGCATACCGGTTGAAGTATGTTTGTTTATACACGCGCCGCATCGGCAGGTGATATTGCACTGATTGCAGGTCCCAGAGCATTCCTTACGCACTTGCCTGTTACAATCACCCGATCTTCCTGGGCAGCGATGTTCAGCGTTGTCGGGGCAGCGGGCTGTCAGGTTTCAGAATTTCTATCCGACGGACATCTGGCTCAAGTTGGACGCGCAGGACCTGGCAACAGACGCCATCCTCTTGGTCCTTCCCCGCACTGAGGAAAACATGTCGCTCCTCGGTCTTTGTTTTTTCTCGGAGCTTCTTACCGAAGTGCGCGATGACTCCCTGTCACACTTGTAAGACCTGACGGGAATAGAAAACAAATCTGGCCTCGCGTCGCGTGGGTCTCCCGCTTTGTTCGATCTGCCCCGGTGAACGGTGTTGATTGCACGGGACCTGTGGAAAAACCACCGTGACCCGCGGTCTGCCTGGGGATTCCGCCGGACATCTATTCTTCATCACCCACCGCGACGACCTCAGGTCGAGGCGCCTCTGACGGAACAGGCCAAAGTTTCTTCGCCCAAGCGGGGTCTTTGAAGCCTGGTTCTTATCTCATCCTTCTCGATTGGAAGGAGCTGGATTTTGAGCCCTCCTTTTCTGCGCCTGCATTGCGGACAGATTCGTCACGTTGCGAATAGAAGGTCTGGTAAAACGCCCTCGGCCGTGTCGGGAACCGTCTCTTGACGGTTCTAGGCCGTTTCCAGCAACTCGGGCGTGTCAGACTGCACAAAGACCTTAAATACACGTGTCATCCTCACCCCCTTCGGTATTGTTGGCGTGACGGGCGCCAAAAGTACCGTGACCCGCCGACTCCGCCTCGGGACCATCGCATTCACCCTCGACAACTTCGGAGATTTAGGGGGCAAACAGACCTACCTCGCTTTTGACCACCCTCGCTTCCAAGAGATACCAAGCGATGCCAAACTACGGCCTGTACTGGTCAGGCCGCTTGACGAGGTGGCGCGTGGTATGACTTGGTTTTGCCTGGAAGCGAAAGCGAGGTAGGTAATTCACGCTCTGAAGATTGCAATTCAACCTCAGCATGACGGTCTGGTGGAAAATGTTACATACCCTCCAGGCGCGGCAGTCATGCAGTCTCCCGGCGAGAAGGCCCCTCTTTCCACTCGAATGATGCCCTATTCTGGTCTGATAAGATTGCTGTTGGGCTCCCCCTGAATCCGCCGACCCTGTCGGCGTGTGTGAGGGGCTTGTCCGTTCAAGTCGTCATCCCCGTCATTCGTTGGTCGTCGTCTCTGTCGTCCCCTTTCCCTGCCTCCCCCTTTCCCTGGGCTCGTCGAAGCTCCCTCTTTTCCAGGGACCTCCTCAGCGCGCCAACCAAAGCGAAGTTCAGCAACGTCGTAATTGAGTCGAAAGAAAACCCCTTCCCTTCGATCCCTTCCCCGCCGGGGTGGGGGGGGGCACGGGGGGGAGAGGGGGGGGTCAGACGCCCCCGGGGAGTCCCGGAGCCCAAACAAGCTCCAAGACGGGCCAAGAGTGCCCCAAGAAACCCCAAAGACAGTCCAAGAGAACCCCGAATCGCCGAACGATTTGTCCAAGACGCCTTGACGGCCTCCAGACGGCCCAAGAGGCCTTCAAAGCGCCCCAAGATGCCTCCAGGAGCTTTCCCACGAGAGCCCCAAGAGGCAAAATTCATGTATTTCCCTTACGTGTGCAACAAATGTTGGCGTTCTTGCCTCTTCCGCTTCCCGACGCGCCCAGACGGCCCACGAGGCCCCCAAGATCGCCCCGAGACGGCCCAAGAGGCCCCCAAGAGGGTTCCCTAATGGCCGAAGAGGGCCCCAAGACGACCCAAGACGCCTCCAAGACGGCCCAAGAGGCTCCCAATATTGCCCCAAGATAGCCCAGGAGAGCCCCAAATTGCCCAGGAGGCCTCCAAGAGTGCCTCGAGAAGAAGAGGAGCCCTGGACGGCCAAAGACGGCCTCAAGAGAGCCCCAGGCTGTCCCAAGAAAGCCTCTGGCCTCCTCCTCTTCCTCCTCCTCCTCCTCCTCCTCCTCCTCCTCCTCCTCCTCCTCCCTCCTCCTCCTCCCCCCCCCTGCTCCCCCTCCTCCTGCTCTCCTGCTGCCTCCTTCTCCTCCTCTTGCTTCTCCTCCACATCCTTCTCCCCCCTCCTCCTCCCTCATCCACCTCCCCCACCCTTCCTCCACCTCCCACTCATCCTCCTCCCCCTGCCCCCCCCCCGTTTTCATCTTCGTCGTTCTTAGGGTCGGCGACACTGGCCGTTTTCATCTTCGCAATAGATCGGGAGATGGCGGGCACTGCCAATCCATGCTGTGAACGACGAGAAAATAGCCCTCAAACATTGGAGCTTCTCTCGAGGTTCTGGGTCTTCCTCCTGGGAGGAGTGAGCATGTCATATGCTTCATGACCCACACCCTCGATCAGGGCCCTCCTGACAAGATCACCTTGCAGGTCGTCTAGGTTCCCACTTTCACAACACTTAAATACTCCGTCCCTTCGCGTGACAGCTCCTGTGGTGATCACCAGTGCGCACGGCATCAAGTTCCATATTCAGACATTTTCGGTCGATAGCCTGTCGTTCGCCAGACAATCGAAATTCCCTGACGAACGAGCGTCTCCCTCCAAACTCAGGAGGCCCCATCGTATGGATGGTGTAGATGGGTGGATCCCTGTGTCGTGCGACATGGCGACATCATTATCTGGCAAATCGGTATAAAAACGGGTGGTGGCACACGCGCGCGCGCTGAGAGAAAGGCGAGCGAACATTATCCGTTACGGCGCCCGTGGCGCCTTGTCCTCACAAGCCGCTTGGGCCAAGCGCGTGCAGCGGCGCGAGCATGGAGGTGAAAGGGAGAGTCGGAGGGAGCGAAGGTAACGACTTGAAGCCTTACCAGGAGGAGCAGCAAGAGTTTGGATGCCAAAAATTGGCACGGAAACAATGGGCACAATGCCCAACAGCAAATGTTGCCCCAAACCAACAGCGGCCGCTGTTGGGCAGGCGGCCTTCTGTCTCGACTGGACACAGGCCGCGGCGGCGCGGACAGCGAGTCCGATTCAAAATGCACAGGAACTGCCGATGAGCATTGTACCCATTCTGTCCGTGCCCATTTCGTTCGTGCAGATCATCAACCGGCAGCAGCAGGAAGAGGAGGAGAAAGAGGATGAGGATGAGGATGAGGAGGAGGAGGGGGAGGGGAGCGGGGAGGAGGAGGAGCGGGGAGGAGGAGGAGGAGGAGGGGAGAGAGAGGGGAGAAAGAGAAAGAGGACGTGCAGAAAGAGGACGTGGCGACAACGACCGCAGCCCTCCGCCGCAGCGCGTGCCGGGCCCCCCCCCCAGGGCGGCTCGCGCGGAGGCGCCGAGGGGGGTGCGGGGCCGCCGCCGCTCTCCCAGGAGGCCCTCCGTCGTCCGCTGTCGCACGCCCTCGCCCTGCCTCCGTCCTTCTCCACCTCCTCCCAGCCACTCCTCCCTTCCTCCCGCCTCCTCCACACCTCATGCCACTTCCCACGTATTATTCCTTGACCTCCCTCCTCCTCCCCCCTCCTCCTCCTCCTCCTCTTCCTCCTCCTCCTCCTCCTCCTCCTCCTCCTCCTCCTCCTCATCCCTCTCCCTCCTCCCTCCTCTCCTCCTCCTCCTCCTCCTCCTCCTCCTCCTCCTCCTCCTCCTCCTCCTCCTCCTGTCCCGCCCCTCCCTCCCTCCCTCCCTCCCTCCCTCCCTCCCTCCGTCGCTCCCTCCGTCTTCCCTCTTCCGCTTCCTCCTTGGCCTCGTAGGGGGGGGGGGGGCGGATAGGGCCGCGGCTACTCGCTTCCATCCGCGCGCAGCGGCGGCGGCATCGGAGCGAATTCGTGTCGTCACCGTCGGCGGCTTTGGTGCCACCTCCGTCTCGTTTCGCTCCTCAGGATACTCCTCATGCTCAGGCTTCTGTTGCTACTGCTCCTCCCCTTCCTCCCTCTGCCAATCCATCTCCGAGCGAGTCCCCGCCCCCCCCGCCACCCCACCCTCCCCCCACCTCCCCTCCTCCTGCTCCTGCTCCTCCACCTCCTTCCTGCGATTCTCCCCTCCTCCTCCTCCTCCTCCTCCTCTGCCTCCTCCTCCTCCTCCTCCTCCTCCTCCTCCTCCTCCTCCTCCTCCTAGTCCTCCCCCTCCTCCCCCTCTTTCCTCTCCCCCATCCCCCGTCTCCGCCTCCTTCTCCGCACCTTCCTCCGCGGCGCGCAACGGGTCCTTACTGCGATTCGTCCTCGTCTCCTCCTCCTCCTCCTCCTCCTCCTCCTCCTCCTCCTCCTCCTCCTCCTCCTCCTCCCCCCTTCTCCTTTTCCTCTCCTCCTCCTCATCATCCTCCTCCTCCTCCTCTGCCTCCTCCTCCTCCTCCTCCTCCTCCTCCTCCTCCTCCTCCTCCCATTCCTCCTCCCTCCTCCTCCTCCTCCTCCTCGTCCTCCTTCCTCCTCCTCCTCCTCTTCCCCTTCCCCTCCTCCTCCTCGTTCCCCTCCCCCTCCTCCATCCCCCGCCTCCTCCCCCGCCTCCCGCTCCGCACCTTCATCCGCGGCGCGCAGCGGGGCGGCCTGCCTGCTGCGCTCGTCCTCGCCCCCGCCGCGGCCGCGGCGGGCTTGTTGTTTGGGCATATATATATATATATATATACAAATGTGTGTGTATATATATATATATATGTGTGTGTGTATCTGTCGTTCTCTCGGTTTCTCTGTGGTTTTGTTGTTGTCTCCTATCTCTTTAGCGCTCATTGTGTTTTTGTCTCTGTCTCTGTCTCTCTCTCTCTCTCGTTCTCTCTCTTTCACTCGCTCGATACCTCTATTATTTCGTTCCGTATGAAATTTGATGTTCTGTATGTGTTTCCCTCTCTCTCTCTCTCTCTTCCTCCCTCTCTCGCATAAATAAATATAGCTACACGCATAGGGCCTTCTCTCTCTCTCTTCCTCTCTCTCTCTTCCTCCCTCTCTGGCCGTCTAGGAGAGGGAGAGGGAAGGAGGGGGAGAGAGGGACCCAACAACGGCTTACAAGGGATGGAGATGGAGGAGGGTGGAGGGAATAGCCCTGCTCCTGGAGGCTCCCTGATCAGATCTGGGGTCAATCGACCTCGAGAGCTTCGCGACGGCGGGTTCTCTGGTGGGAGCGGTGGCGGGAGACTGTCGACGACGCTGCGGACGCTGGAGCTCCTCCTGCATAGCTAATGGCACGACTGAAGGCCACCCCCATGGCCTGAACTCCTCCCCTAGAGACCAACTTATCATCCCGAGTCGTTCCTTGACGCCCCCGGGGCCCGGCAAGGACCCCGGACAGGACCGCGAGGGCCGCCTCGAGACTTGCGAGGCCGAGGCCCCGACACCCTCACGTGGTGAAAGAATCACGATGGCAACTGTGTGGCAATCTCCGTCCTCAGGGAGCCCTTTGCCAGGCCCCGGGGGCCCTCAAAACGACTCAATGCGCAAATCAACAAAAAAAAAAGCGCGGAGCTCTTCTGTCTATGCCCTTGCCGCAGAACCCGACAGAGACGGGCGTTCCCGCCTGGTCGTCGTCGTCGTCGTCGTCACCGTCGTTGTCGTCGTCGACGCTGCCGTCGTCGCCGTCGTCGTGGAGGTCGTCGTCGCACTCTTCCTCCAGATACCATGCCAGTGCTTGCTGATGTAGCCTCCTTCCCGTCAGTTGGGATGCGACGGCGATCAAGACGACTGTCCTATCTGCAATCTTCCCAAACTTGTATCACGCGGGCTTTTGTGGGCTGCTTGTGTCTGCGCTGCCTGTCCGGCGCGCTCGCCCGAAAGTTGATGCTCATGACAAGTGAACAGGACACTGAAGGGGCCCTGAGACACTCAAATAAACACACACACACACAAATAAAAGGATTCCCAATCTTTTCCTATAGTTTCTGGGTTTCTGTCTTCCCCCCCACTTCCCATGTTTTTCCATATTTTCCTGGGAGTGGACGATTAATCGTGTCTGTGTGTTTTTCCCCTCTGAGGCACGCCTGTATCCTGAAGGAAGGAGGCTGGAGGAAGGAGGACTGGCTATGGGTAGGGGTGCGGGGTGTCGGATCCTCGGGGAAGCTCTCGTCGCAACGGGGGGGTCCAGCAGACAACACGCACCCATTGCCGTCTCCGTACCCCCCGCCGGGCACGGGTTTGTGTGTGTGTGTGTGAATTGTCCGTTCGTCTGTTTCTGCCGATGGCTCTCCTTCCACTCGGAAGCCGGGCAAGGGCTGCTAAATCCGTGGCTGAAAACATCGACCTCCGGGAAGTTGCCTTCGTCCTCCCGGGAAGAAGCCCGCTGACTGTTTCCCGTGCCGCGCCTCCTTCCGGGAATCTGTCTTTTCCTTCCGGGAGGGCCGTTTTGGCAGCCACGGTTTTTGGCAGCCCTCGCCCAGCTTCCGATCCGCTGCTCGGGGATGGACAGACCCCCCTTTAGTAAAACGTGGTTTAGTGCAAACGACCTGAGGCCCAAACCTGGCGGGCGCAGGCCTGGAAAATGACGGCCCACGGCGCCCTCTCGAGAACCGAAAGCGGACAATTCACTGATCGACTCGTCACTGTTGGGGGTTCTGTCCACCCCCGAACTGCCCTCCCCTCCGGCGGGGGGCTCCTCCTGCAGCTGCAGCTCCGAGGCCAGGAACGGCCGGTCGAAGCACTCCTGCCGCTCCTCGGGGTGCCCGCTCTCGGGCAGCAGCACGGACAGCGTGTGGTGGTACCTTCCACGGCGGGATCAGTCAGCACCTCCTCCTCATCTTCCTCCTCCTCCTCCTCCTCCTCCTCCAACTCCTCCTCCCCTCCTCCCTCCCTCCCTCCCTCCCTCCCTCCCCCTCCCTCCCTCCTCCCTCCCCTCCCTCCGCCTCCTCCTCCTCCTCCTCCTCCTCCTCCTCCTCCTCCTCCTCCTCCTCCTCCTCCTCATCATCAGCATCACAGCATCATCAGCATCATCATCATCATCTCATCATCATCATCATCATCATCATCATCATCATCATCACATCATCATCATCATCAGCATCAGCATCAGCATCAGCATCAGCATCAGCATCAGCATCAGCATCATCATCATCATCATCATCATCATCATCATCATCATCATCATCATCATCATCATCATCATCATGGTCCGCCTCCTCCACCTCCTCCTCTAGAAGGAAAAACTATGCACATACACCGATTCTGGCCAGGCCCATCCTGAGCCCAGGATCGGTGCATGCGCCCTCCTACCCTGGCCAGGAAAGCACATGCACCGATCCTGGGTCAGAGACGGGCCTTGCCAGGATCGGTGCATGTGCATAGTTCTCTTCGCCCGGACATGGAGACGCACCCGTACAAGCACAACAAATCCAAGAAATCTGCGCAAACATCCGACATTTCAGGTGCGTGACGTTTCCTCTTCTTCGAGAAGTGCGTGCCGGAAAGAGCCCGGGACGGGCTCGGGGTACACACCTAACCGTCTGGCGCGCCAAAAGTGTACCGACACCCCAGCTTCCAAACATGTTACAAGTCTCCTAGATGGGTCCAAGCAGGTGGGGTCGGAGGATCGCGCCGCCTCGCCGATGCGTCGACGATGCATCGGCGACGTACACGATGCATCGGCGACGTCATCATGGAGGAGCTCGGGCTCCACATCGAATCGCATCGGCGATGCATCGGTGATGCGGCGCGATCCTCCGACCCCATCTACTTGGGACCAATTTGGGAGGCCTAGATGATATGCGAAGCTGGAACTTCAAGGCGAAGCTTTGCCGCAATCCTTTGCTCTGGAGCTGGGCCAAACGACGTGTGCATGCAACCTGTAAGCGAGAAAGCGATGTGGCGGGCCACGCCTGGCACGCGCCTTGTCGCGCGAGTCGGCCAGGAAAGGGAACGCGCCTCGGAATGAGGAGGGCAATTGAAAGCTGGATGTGATAGAACACCCCATGGACCCCATGAATTCAGGACTCGTGACAGAGCGCCATTGAGAGCGAGTGATCAGCACAGCATGACAGCTAAGGAATCTCAGACTCAACAAAATCCATTCAAACCGCAAACACATCCATTTCAAGATGCAACATGGTTTGCAAAACCCATGCGGCGGCGATTGCGATGAGTGCGTGGCGTTGGCTGGTGCATCTCTGCGGCCGCGCTGGCCCGCGCATGCTCGCTGGCACAACGGCCAGCTAGTTTGGCGCGACCGACGTAGCCGCGGTGGCGCTGACCGCTGGGCACTTCCCAACGGCCAATTCAGTGCGAATCGGTGGCTTGGGCGGGCGCCGCATCATGGCGACGCCGACAACGGTAGACGCGATTATGAGAGTAGCGATGGTTGTGACTATGATGGCGATGACAACGGCAAGACCAATAACGGCGCTGATGTTGACCACACCCACCGATAACGATGACGATGTCCTCGCGTCGGCTGAAGGTTTTTGAGGGAACTCGGCATGCGCGCGCGGCCGACGCGTGCGAGTGGCCCGCGTGGTTATATGTGACACGGGTCGTGCCCCCCATCCCACCCTAGCACGCGTGCAAGGGCATCCAGATGAGTTCGACACGCGGCGCGAGAAGGCCAGTTTTGCAGAATGATATGAAACTGTTGAACAAATCAACGATGGATTTCATAACAACTCGCAACAGCGCGAGTGCGAACATATTTGAAAACTGATGTTGCGAAGCCATGTGTGTTTAATACGCTTGCGGAGCGCTTGACTTCGAAACCCTTACGAAACCGAAGGTTGTTTTCGGCATGCGAGCGCGACGACGCGCGCATGGGCGTTCGAACGATTTCGGCACGCGCGCGTGAGATGCCAAATCGGCAGCACATTATGATCATGCAGAAACACCTTGTTTGGATTAAAGGATTCGCAAGAGCGCAAGCGCAGTGACTGAAACTTCCTGTTGCAAAATCATGTGTTTTGATATGTTTCGTGACGTTCGGTTTCGGAAGCGTTACGACACCTGGGGTTTCGGCATGCGCGCGCGTCGACGCGCGCGCGTGCGAGCTTTGCCTCATTTATGTTAGAATTTTATTGAGAACTGATGAGTTTTGAGAAACGGGTGCGCGTGCATATTTCTCTTCAGAAGATGTATGGGGAAGGTGCGAACTCTGACCTGCCTGGGATAGACTGAATTTACATTTAGGATGAACGATGGGGCAAGATCACATATACATTCAATACGAAAATCTGGAACGTCAACCCCGGAGGGGGAGTAGATCATATTGTTCTTTTTAAAAAAGGTATGTGTGTTGTGCGACCTATAGTGGTGCAGCCTATCAAGTGCAATCTATGGGGTGTGGGCTGTGTGGTGTAGACTATGTAGAGCGATGCGATGCGCAACAATGCCCAGAAATGCATAGAAGTGAATCGTAGCGAGGAGCAGTGCGAAGAAATGCCAAGCAATGCCAAACTATGCAACGCCATCCAATCAGATCACAGAGAACACAATGTAACGCAATGCAACTCAATGTAAACAGGTGCAACACATCTCAAATCAATCAACGCACACAATAACAAAGCAATGATAACTAACACAGCGCATTGAAAAGCAACGCAACCCACTGCACATCAATGCGAAGCAACTAAAAATGCAAAGCAATGCAACCCAACGAATGTCAGCGCAAAGCAATGTGCAGCAACGAGCAGCAGTGCACATGGATGCAAAACCATGCACAGCGATGCAATTCACTGCAAAACAAAACTAAACACTGCACATCAATACATAGCAGTGCTAACCACCGCATACCTCAAAACAATGCAAATCAATGCAACGCAGTGCAACAGAGTGCGACTAGAATGCAATGACGCAGCGCAATATACAGTTACGCAGTGCAATGCAAAGTAATGCAATGCAAAGCAGTGCAGAGCAATGCGAAGCAATGCCAGCAATGCCAAGCCATGCAAAACAAACCCAAAGCCAATGCGAAGTAGCAGTGCGGAGCAATGCAAAGCGGGAGGCGACGAGGCGTCGGGCGGCGACGAGGCGGCTACATGGCGGCCAGAGCGGCCCGCAGGCCCAGACGATGGGCGGGGACGAGGCGGCGACGTGGCAGCGGCGGCGGCTACATGGCGGCCAGAGCGGCCCGCAGGCCCAGGCGACGGGCGGCGACGAGGCGGCCACATGGCGGCCAGAGCGGCCCGCAGGGTCAGGCGACGGGCGGCAACGAAGCGGCGCTCTGGGCCACAGGGCGGCCCACAGGCCCAGTTCCGTAGAAGTCAGGTAGGGGACCCTGTTTGTGATGTGCTCGCATGTATACAGATGTTGCTATCTATACACATGTGTATATCGTATGTATGTATGGTTGTGCATGTTCTCTTTCACATTCGAACTCGTACTCGTACACGAACGTATATATTGATACTGAAAATACGGCGCCCCCTCAGAAACCTTCAACGACCCCGGAGTACCCGTTGTACTCGAGATACTCTCGGATGAGCTCGTTGATGACCGCGTTCTCCCGGGGCAGCGAAGGCCGGGGCGCCTGCCGCAGGGGAGGGGCTCCTGGAGGCGTCCAAGATGGTGTGTAGCTACCCACACAGCCCGAGGCGTGTGCGCGGACCACGAGGGGGCCAGGGAACGTGTCGAAGGAAACAGAAGGGGGCAGCACATTTGCGGCGAACTAGCAGCCCCAGCCCTGATGTCCACGAACCTTGTCTGTGGGCCCAAGACTGTTTATTACGAAGTTCTGTGGCCAAAAATAATAAATGGTTGAGCGGTGGCCGATCATAAATAACAAATGTAACACAAATAATTAAAAATAATAAAGAGAAAGAGCCAGGTCTCTCGACATCATGCAATTCATAGCAGGCAACAAGAACTGAAACGCTGGCTGGGGGTCACAGGGCCGAGGGGAGAAGAACAGTGACTCTCTCGCTGCCGGGAGGTCCCCCGAAACGAACTCGGGCAGGGGCGGTCCTCCCTGCATGATTCTGAGGCTGACACTTAGTCCACTCCTGACCACATGAAACCCAACTTCTCTCGGGCGTTGGCAGAACTGGGTTTAGTGGAACTCTTTAGTGATTTGTACCGGGGGCGCCCCCCCGCCCCATCTTCACTGACCGGAGCTGCCATCACCCGAAAAACACCAGCGACGGCAAACCCGGTTTAGTGAACATGGCCAATTCGAAATCTCCGGGGCCCTACCACTGACCGGGTCCCCTTACCCGGGGTCCTAGCCATACCCGGTTCTCTGGTCGCGACCGATCGCTACCGACGCTGTTTCAAGCTCGGGTATCGGCCGCGACCGGCTTGCTTCAAACTTGATCGCGGTCGGGCCGCGACCGACTTGGAAATCGGTCGCGATCGGCCGCGGCAGATTTACAGTGCCCATCGGTCGCTGCCGACCGCGACGGAGAAAGCCTGGCATCCAATGATCTGGGCCCTCCTGGACGCCCTCCGCCCCAAGAGGGCCCCTGAGACCGCCAGCGGGCGCCCAAGAAACCTCTAAGAAGTCCTCAGTCGCGACGGAAACCTGCTCTCTCTAAACCAGATCGAAGTTCTAACGGCAAAGCCCAATTTTGGGAGGCGTTCCCTCGTCGTTGCCTCTTGTCTTGGAGTGACCTCTCTCTCTGGCGAGGGGGGTCCTTGGCAAAACTGCGAGGTGACACGACCAGACCCACAGAACCGTCGAACACTCCAGATTTCGTAATAAAAGGGAGGGGGTCTGGACCCTCCAAGACAAGCCATTTCAGACCTCCCCCGTGGGAGAACCCTCCACAACATCGTCCCCAGACCCCCCCTGGCCCTCCAAGATAGCCTGGAAGAGCCCCCCCCGAAATGAGACCCCCCTCCCTTTATTACGAAATCTGGAGCACCCGCCGAACCCGAACTGGACCTCACGCCACCGACGCGGCCTCGCGACATCGGACAGCCGGGCGGACAGTGCTCTGGCACGTCTCCGCCTCCCTGGAGGAGGCCCTTGCCGGAGCCCCCGGGGCCGTCGGCACACGACGCGGGGAGCAACGCCGGAGCGAGGAACGCGGCTACAGTCGAGGCGTTGACCTAAGGAACCCTAAATAAGGAACGGGGCCCCTTTCTCCCATACGTTGAACTTCGATTTCCCATGGAAAACCTCAGGACAACTGAAAGCAAACTGCAGAACAATCAAGGAACGCCGAGCCCCTCTCCAACGAAAAGGGTTCCTTCTTCAGGGCCCCGACTGTAAGACCTCCGCCTGGAGGGCCGCAGTGGGTACGGAAACAGCAGTTCCCGTGTAGCCTAGTCTTGAGTCGGGCGTGTCCCCCTACAGGGGGATGTTGGACGACAAATGAAAAAATCTCCCAAATGCCCCCAAGTTGCCAAACATTGGCAAACAAATCGTCGCCTGACTATTCTTTGGCAAGTTTTGAATATTCCCCCTGTGGAGGGACAGGCGCGACTTAAGCCTAGTCCTGGACGCCCCCGAGCCTCGCAGGGGGCTCAGGGCCAGTATAGCGCGGCAGAGGCCCGGCTCCTTCCTGCTCCTCGCGGCCCCTCCCTTCTCTGCTCCCCGCACACTCTGTGGCCCCTCGCGGACCCCCCTCCGCCTGCTGCCGCGCGCCGCACAGCTGCTCCTCGTCATCGCCCGGACGTCCATACCCCGTGCCTTCCTGGGGTGTCGTGCGCTCTGTAAAATCCAGACGTTATATATATATATATATATATATATATATATATATGGTCGATCCCCCCCCAGCGACCCCCCAGAGCGCCCAAAGCACGAATACACAACTCAACTTTGGCCTGCCATCCAGGCTGACGAACTCATCCGCTCGGCCCATCCGTCACGGGCACCGTGCGCGCAAGCATATCGGTTTCGGCCGAGGCCACGAAACACTGTGTATCACAGGTTTTTCTGGTTTTTCTGGTCTGGGAACCAACGAAACACTGCGTATCACATGTTTTTCTGGTTTTTCTGGTTTCTGGAGCTGAAATGCTCGCCGCGGCCTCGCCCCACCGCCCCCCCCTCCTGTTTGTCGGCACCTGAAAACCAGAAAACCAGAAAAACATGTGATACACAGTGTTTCGTGGCCTCCGAGCAAGAAAACACTGTGTATCACAGGTTTTTCTGGTTTTTCTGGTCTGGGAACCAACGAAACATTGTGTATCACAGGTTTTTCTGGTTTTTCTGGTTTCTGGAGCTGAAATGCTCGCCGCGGCCTCGCCCCACCGCTCCCCCACCTCCTGTTTGTCGGCAAAACCAGAAAAACCAGAAAAACAAGGAAAACCTGTGATACACAAGGTTTCGTTGGTTCCCAGACCAGAAAAACCAGAAAAACATGTGATACACAGTGTTTCGTGGCCTCCTAGCAAGAAAACACTGTGTACTCTTCGGGTTTCCAACAGGGAGAGGACCAGGAGGAAGAACAGAAGGTGGAGGACGAGGGAGGAGGGAGGAGGAGGACGAGGAACAGATACACAGTGTTTCGTGGCCTCCGAGCAAGAAAACACTGTGTATCACAGGTTTTTCTGGTTTTTCTGGTCTGGGAACCAACGAAACATTGTGTATCACATGTTGTTCTGGTTTTTCTGGCTTCTGGAGCTGAAATGCTCGCCGCGGCCTCGCCCCACCGCTCCCCCACCTCCTGTTTGTCGGCACCTGAAAACCAGAAAAACCAGAAAAAACTGTGATACACAATGTTTCGTTGTTTCCCAGACCGGAAAAACAAGAAAAACCTGTGATACACAGTGTGTCATGGCCTCCGAGCAAGAAAACACTGTGTACTCTTCGGGTCTCCAACAGGGAGAGGACCAGGAGGAAGAACAGAAGGTGGAGGACGAGGGAGGAGGGAGGAGGAGGACGAGGAACAGATACACAGTGTTTCGTGGCCTCCGAGCAAGAAAACACTGTGTATCACAGGTTGTTTCTGGTTTTTCTGGTCTGGGAACCAACGAAATATTGTTTATCACAAGTGTTTATGGATTTTCTGGTTTCTGGAGCTGAAATGCTCGCCGCGGCCTCGCCCCACCGTTCCCCCACCTCCTGTTTGTCGGCACCTGAAAACCAGAAAAACCAGAAAAACCTGTGATACACAAGGTTTCGTTGGTTCCCAGACCAGAAAAACCAGACAAACATGTGATACACAGTGTTTCGTGGCCTCCTAGCAAGAAAACACTGTGTACTCTTCGGGTCTCCAACAGGGAGAGGACCAGGAGGAAGAACAGAAGGTGGAGGACGAGGGAGGAGGGAGGAGGAGGACGAGGAACAGGAGAAGCAGGAGGCGAGGGGGGAGATGGAAGAGGAAGGGAGGATGAGGGAGAGTAAGATGAGGAGGAATACTTCTCGGGTCACAGCCCGCTGTGACAGACCATGTGTCTGCGGCTGTTCGGTGCCAGCATCTCAAGACAGCGGCTTCGTGTTTTGGGCGTTTTGGGGGGTCGCTGGGGGGGGGGGACCGAGCATATATATATATATATATATATATATATGGAGGATGCAGGAAGGCCAGCCTCTCAACAAGCACCGCGACAAGCGAAGTCTTTTTGGTAAACGCACTCAGGGGTCGAACAGAGCAGGGCTGCTTTGCAAACGTCGATGGTGGGGGTCGGTGTGGTTGTGTTTCCCTCCAAGGTGCGCTGCGATGGTCCAGGTTTTCAGGCGCTGGCCTCGCGAAGAAAGAGCAGCACTCGCCCGAACGATGCCAAGATCTTATGTTAGTGCAACCATCATGCTACCGTTGGGGAACGTTGAACAACAGATGCAGTCGCTCTCCTGCCCACGGCGAACCTCGACCACGACGGGGCTCCACGACCTGATCCGGAGGAATGGCCCGAAGACCAGAGCCATGCCTGAAACCAAACTATTCTTTATCCTGGCGTCTCGACTGGACACGCCGCTATGCTCGGATACTGCGAGAGCAGGGCACCGTTTCTCCCGCGCCGTTTTCCTCTCGCACAAGGCTTCACTAACTCAAGAATGGTGCGTATGTTTTTTTGGGCCGGACCGCTTTTGCGCTTTCAAACACAAAACTACCGCTGCAGCGTTGGATTATATTTCCGGACCGGCACTTTGCTCCCGTCGTTCAAAAGTTGCGCTCTCGACCCAGCGCGGGCTTCATTTCTGGATCCGATTCCTTCCTCGTCGTTGTCACCCCATAGTTTCCCCTCATCCTTCCTCCTGCTGCTGCTCCTCATCCTCCTCCTTATTCCTCATCCTCATCGACTTCCTCCTGCCCATCTTGCTCATCCACCTCCTTCTCCTCCTCTAATATGCACAGCTCTTCTTGCTGATTGCGCATCTCACGATGTCTGATATTACTCTCCCCCTTTTGTCCATTCCCCTCCTTCCCCTTCCTGCCGCATCCTTCCCCATCCCTCCCACTGTCTCATCTTTCTCGCTTCCTGCCGCCTCTCTCCTGCCCACTCCTCTATTCCTCCCTCACTCACTCACTTCCTACTCCCGCCCCCTCTTGCCTCCTCCACACTCCCTACTCCAGACTCTCTCCCTTCTTCCGCTGTCCCTGTCTCTCTTCCGCCCTGCAGCCATGCAAGCCTCCAAGCGCGCCCCCACTCCTCCAACGTCCGCTCCGTGCCCCCCCGCCCCGCATCTGTGCTTCCCGCCTGCTCCAGATTTCGTAACAAAGGGAGGGGGGTCTCATTTCGGGGGGGGGCCTCTTCCAGGCTATCTTGGAGGGCCCGGGGGGGTCTGGGGACGATGTCTTGGAGGGTTCTCCCACGGGGGGGGGGGTCTGAGATGGCTCGTCTTGGAGGGTCCAGATCCCCCCCCTTTCACTACGAGATCTGGAGTACCCCTTCCCGTTTCCCTCCGCCCCCCTCCTCCACCCCCCCACGCGCGCGCTGCCCTCGCAGTCACTTGCCCATGGGCTTCTGACGCCGCGCGCCTCCGGTCCCTCTCACCGCACGGGGGCCCCGGAGGCCTCGACACGCCGCCCTTTAGGGGGCCGAGCGCTCCGTCCTCGGCGCCGACGCTGGCAGACGGTCCCCTGCAGGGCCCAGAAAAGGGCGCCAGGGCCCCCGTGGGCCGAGGAGCCTCACCGAAACACGCACGCGACCACACACACACACTCACACATGTTTTTTTTATTGTTTTGTTTTTCTCTCTATCTCTCTCTCTCACACACACATTCTCTCTCACACACACACGCACACATCTCGCCACGATGTTGGGCACGGCGGCGTGCGGAGGTCTGGGCTCGGGGACGCGAGAAGACATCCCCCCCCTGGGCTCCAGCCGTGGCGACGAGACGCCTCCCAGAGCCAGGACTACACTACGGGATTTAATATGAGATACCCAGAACAAGAAACTCGAATGCACCGGAGCCAAAGGCTCTGCAATTTGCTGCTGCGTTCACTTCTTGTGATGTAATAGCGGTACTGTCGAGGGCCCGGAAACTCTTATGATGCACTTACTACTTCTGATTGATCCTAGCCGCCCGAGAACCTCGGCCCTCCAGCCCCCTTTCCCACGGCTTCCCGCGGCGCGGGCGGAAGGGGGGCATGCTCGTCGTCGAGCGCGGCGAAGATCTCCGCGCGCACCTTGGCCTTCACCTGCGCAGGCGGGCGCGGCGACCTCCTCCGCCCGCCTTGGCTGCGCGCCGCGGCCCGCGACCGTGCACGACAACAAGAACCATCATTCCAAAACTGTTCGCTCCTACAGGCCCGCGTGTCATTCACTATGCATATCTCAAACCATGGATACCTACACTCTTCGTCTTCGATCGTACCCCCTTTGGGGGGGTTGTATTCCTTTCTGGCCACGTGTAATTGGAGAAGCCCCTAAACAGGGAAACGAGAGGGAAAGAACAAAAAAAGAGGACGAAGGGATCGGAGGAAGGGAAGGATTAGAGGGGCAAGAGGGAGGGACGACGATGATTTGTGCCGCGAGTTGCGATTCAGCTTGCGCCATGGCTTGCGCCAGCCATTCCAACGCAGGTTAAAAAAAACTTCGCCATGGGTCGCGCCGTAAATAGCGCCATGTCACACTTCTGGTGCTGCTCGGCGAGGCGTTGGAGGCGAAGGAGAGGGAATCGGAAGGAGGGGGGAGGCGGCCCGGGAGGAGGGAGGAGCAGGAAGGTAAGAGTGCGAACGTTCGAAAAAGTCCTAAACGAACGCTCCATTCCAAAAGGAAGTCTCAGGCGGTAGCCCACGACGGGCGGGCGATCCTCTGACGGGCGGGTCGGGCGGGTGGGACATTCAAGCGGGATGCCTGAGTAGGGCGGGAGCGCGATTCCGAAGTAAAGTGTGACGGTGTCCTTGGCGCGAGCGTGGTGCCTGAGCGTAGACAACGCTATCTCTAATAAACCGCGAAAAAACAAACATGCGATAACGCAATTCTTCAATAAGGGGATGTCTGGCGGGAGCGGGGGTCTAGACTAAAGCGCAAGGAAATCTTAAGCGGGAGCGCCGTTCTTCAATAAATTGCGAGGAAGCCTCAGACGGGAGGGGGGTCATGACAAAATTGCGAGGAAGTCACAAGCGGGAGCGCCGATCCTGAGTACATTAGGAAAAAGTCTCAGGCGGGAGTGGGGGTCTTGACTAAAGTTGGACGAAGTCTCAGGCGGGAGCCGTTGTTGTTGTAGTCTGGGGGAGCAACGACGCAGTTTGACCTGGACAAGAATTGTGAGGAAGTCTCGAGCGGGAGCGCCGTTCCTGAGTAAATTGGGAGGAAATGTCAGACGGGCGGGGGGGATCCTGAGCAAATTGGGAGGAAGTCTCAGGCGGGAGCCGTTGTTGTTGTAGTCCGGGGGGCCAGGGGCACAGTTTGACCAGGAAAACTTTCCCGGTCAAAAAACAAGGTGCGAGCGTCGAGGGGCACGCTTTGACGGAGATACAACAATATGCACCAGCGAGGGGGGATCAGCAATAATTATTCTTCAGAAGTGAGAGTTCCACCATCATTTTAAGACTGTTCGCTCCTTTCTGCTCACGTGCCAATCAATACGGATACCCCAAACCATCGGTACCCGCCCTCGTCGTCTTCGATCGTACCCCCTTGGGGGTATAGCTTCCTTACCTGCCACGCGCATTAAGTGCAGCCCCTAAAACAAGGGAGGGGGAGACGGGAGGAAGCGGGAGGGAGAACAAATAACACGAGACAAATTAGCAGGAGAGGGGGCAAGGAGCAGGAAACAAATGGTAGAACCAGACGGGCAGATCGGGTGGGCAGACCCATAGCGGGCAGTTCAGGAAGGCGGGCCCAAGCGACCAGGTCGAGCAGGCGGATTGTTGAAGCGTGGGTCCTGCATGGACCGCGAGGAGGTCTCGAGCGATAGCGCGGTTCCCAAATAAGTCGTGAGAAAAACCATAGCGATAATGTGATTCCTGAGCGCCGAGGGCGCATCGTCTTCGAAAGTGGGAGGACGTCCCACCCGAGAACGCGACGCGCACATGAATTGCGAGGAGATCCCGCGCGAGAGCGCGATTCCGGAATATATATTTTGAGGATGTGTCAGGCGGGAGCCGCTGTGGTTGTAAACCGGGGGCCAGGGTCCCAGTTTGAGCCCCGTAACTTTCCACTGTTCAAAACCAGGGTGCGAGCCCCGGGGGCACCGCAGACCGAAGAAATCCGCGCAGATCTCGAACAGCCTGGGTTTACGCAACTGTTGATGTTCTGTTGTTCGAAATGCGTAGAAGTCCACATGTGACTGCCGACGCGCGCAACACGAGCATACGTACATCACGCTCTTGTCCTGTGTTGGCGTTGTGTATCCGGTGTTAGCCGCGCTCTGCCCTACAAAATCCTTTGCTGTCTTCTGGTCTGTCTGAACGTTGCTTGTACCCGGGACGACGTCTTGAAACCAGTGAAGACACATGAATGCCCACAAACAGCGGCACCGCGTGGCGGAGAGCCCAGAGACAGGAGTGCCCATAACCAAAAAGCCCAGAAACAGGAGAGAGAGAGAGAGAGAGAGCCCGGAAGCAGGGGTGCCCAGCAACAGGAATGCCAGCTCCCCGGGGCCACGGAGTGTCAGTGTGACTCAAAGGCTCCCACCACGGAGGGGAGGCACTGGCTCCAGGGGGGAGGCATTTGACCCGGGATCGGCAGTAGATCGCCGATACATCAGCGACAGGCCCCTGGCGAAACTGGACGCTCCTGGACGGAGTGGCGGGTGGGGGGGGAGGCGCGGCCGCGATCGGCGGAGAGCGTGCGACTGGGGTCGATGCTGGGCATTGGTTGTAAGCGATCCCCGTCCTTGCTGCTGGCATGGCCTCGGGCCTGACCGATTTTGAAGGGGCCCTGGGACACACAAATAGATGTACACAAACAAAATGATCCCCCCCACACATTTTCCTATATTTTCTGGGTTTCTGTCTTCCCCCCACTTCCCATATTGTCCCATATTTTATGGGAAATCGACGATTCCTTGTGTCTGTGTGTTTCTTTCCCTCCTGAGGTTTGCCCCCCTGGACGAAGGCTATGTGCTCTTGCCTTCGGGTTTCGAAGGGCCTATCCCCACCTGGGCGGACGACTCCGCAGGGTTGAGCTACCATGGCCCAGTGGGGATGGGCATCGGCCGGACGATGCTGAAATGCTCCCCCCACACCTTGGGACAGTCCCCCTCCTCGCCACCTCTGTCCTCCTCATCCTGCTCCTCCTCCTCCTCCTCCTCCTCCTCCTCTTCCTGGCACCCCTCCTCCTCCTCCTCTTCCTCCTCCTCCTCCTCCTCCTCCTCCTCCTCCTCCTCCTCCTCCTCCTCCTCCTCCCCCTCTCTGCCGCTGCCCCTGAGTGGGAGCCTGGGGGATCCGCCCGCTTCTAACACCAGTCGCGTCCAGCAGGTCCCTGCCATGACAACCTGCCTTGGCGGCCTCTTGGGCCGCCTGGAGGGCATCATAGGCCGTCTTGCGTCTTGGAGCCATCATAGCCATCTGGGAGGCGTCATAGGACCGTCTTGGAGGCCATCTTGGGCCATCTTGGCCGCCTTGGAGGTATCTTGGAGGCCACCTTGGCGGACTTGGAGGCGCGAGGGGTCTCGAGCCCAAAAGGATCGTGGCCATGACGGCCGGAGCCCCCGTCTCTGACCTCCCGAGCCGTTCGAAGCTGATTCTAAGTCGCCCATCTTCGCGCATCGCGCCCCGCGGACTGGCAACGCACGGCAGCCCTCGCGCCGCCCTTCGCGCCGCCCTCCTGGAGAAGGGCATCTCTCCGGCCCAGGCCGCGACGTGCGAAACGCGGCTACATTCGCGCCCCTGGAGAGGAGCAAAAAACCACCTAGCAACAAATTCTCTGAGGTCCGCGCGAATTTCTTGGATTTGCGCTGGACCCCCCTCCCTGGCGTGCAAAGCGCCGCCAGGGGGGACCTCGTGCCGATCCAAGAAATCTGTGGACATGCGAAACGCATGCTTGTGCAATGTTTCCATCTTCGATACATTCGCGCCCCTGGCGGGACTCTGTTGCATCTTCCGGGGTACCTTGTATGTCCCGGCCCGCCAGTGCCCGCGTCGAATCCGTGAAGAGTCCATATCGGCCTCGTCAAGCCCGCGTCGAATTCACGTCGACGCCATGTCAGATCCGCGTCGAATCTGCATCGACCCCGCGTCGGGCACAACAAAACACATCAGGTTTGAGGCCAGAAGAGGTCCCCCAAAGTTGCGACGTAATGCTGGGCGCGAGAGAGCAACGAGACACCAGCGGTCCACCAGAGGCCGCTCAGACGAGGCCCAAGCAGATGGGGGCCGAAGGACTGAGCGGCATCGCCGAGGCATCGGAGATGCGCCGGCGACGTCGGGATGGAGACAAGTCGGCTCTGGATCACACCGCATGAGCCGGCGCATCGGCGACGCGGCGGGATATCCACAGGTGGGGCCCGCCACAGTGCCTGCGTAATTGTGGGGGGGGAGAGAGCTCGGCACAGATGCGGAACGTGCGCTTGCACACACGGCACGCCCTGGAAGCCCACATGAATCCGCCTGCACCTCTCGGAGGGACACGCTGTGAATCCGCCGGATTCCGCTGGCGGAGCAGCCCACGGTGTCCTGTCGCTGGCTGCTGCGGACCTTCCGCCGAGGAGGAGAGGCGAACTTGTTGACCACTCGGAGGCGAGGCCCTGGCTGGACCGCCCGACACTGCAATCTTGTGTTTGTGCTGCTTGGTCCGCTTCGTCAGACAACACCAGTATCCCTGGGAGAGGGGATGACGAGACCGCATCCAGGCGGCACTCTTGCGTGACGGACATGTGCGCGCAGGCGAACGGCGAGGAGGCTGAGGGGAGAAGAAAGAGAGGGATAAGTTTTCTGCAAGAATCACAACTCATCCTTGCCAGCCTGGCTAGCCAGCTCGGATGACTTGACGATCATCGCTCCAAGTGTCCAGACCAGCTCCGTCTCGCCAAGCTGGTTCCCCATGGTCAGCGGCACGTCCACACCAATGCCGAAACCCTTCTCCAGAAGGACGAGAATGTACGCCACATCTCCGCAGAAATCTGGCCACTTGGAGGAGTCGTCGCCGACCGCAAAGCGCGCCTCGACCTCTGAGGGCACCAGCGCGCACAGCCCCCTGGCGGCCGCCTGCACCGCCGCCAGGGTCATGTTCTGCGAGCCCAGCTCCTGCACGTCGCCATCCAGTAGGCCTATTGCCCGCGTGCGATCGTAGAGGTATGAGAAGCCTAGGACGCCACCCCGCACGGACGGCTGGCCGGCCGCGCCCAGGGCGCACGACGCCGGCTCGTGGCACTGCTGCCCGTCCAGCAGCCCCGAATACAGCGCAGCGCAGCGGTCGTATGAGCCCAACCCTACAAATTCTTGCTGTGAGAAGATTGGAAATCAGCGGGCAAGATGGATGGACCAAGATTCTCGGGGGGGCGCCCCCCGGTCCAGATCACCAAACCTAGGTTCCACTAAGCCCAGTTCTACCAACGCCCGGCTCTGGTCGCCGCTCGCGTGGAGCTCTCTCCGAGGCCCTCCGTCCCTCCCTGGGCCCGGGGCGGGCCTGCGCGTGGCCGCCCGAGAAGACCGGCCGGGTCCGAGGTCGTGCAGGGCGCCAGAGGTCTGGAAATCCATCGAACATCGTATTTCCGCATGGGTTTCTGGGATCGGCGCTGGGCCCTCCTGGCGGTGCTCCTGCGCCGCCCCGTGCGCGCGCTCCGCGCGCCAAGGGAGGAGGCCCAGCGCCGATCCAATGAATCCGAGCGGACACCCGAAAGTCTACCTTTTTTGGAAGAATTATTCTCTGAAGGGGACAGACGGGTATGCCGCTACAGTCGAGGCGTTGACCTAAGGAACCCTAAATAAGGAACGAGGCCCCTATCTTCCATACGTTGAACTTCGATTTCGTATCGAAAACCTAAGGAAAATCCAAGGCAAGCTGCGAAACACTCAAGGAACGCGGAGCCCCTCCCCAACGAAAATGGTTCCTTCTTCAGGGCCCTGGCTGTATGCCGCTACTCCCCAGATCTCTCCATAAGGTGCGTCCTGACCAGAATTTCGAGGCGAGTCCAACCGTGGCGACGAGGGAAGGACAGCGGTATCGGTACTCCAGATTTCGTAATAAAAGGGAGGGGGTCTGGACTCTCCAAGACAAGCCATTTCAGACCTCCCCCCTGGGAGAACCATCCAAGACATCGTCCCCAGACCCCCCAGGCCCTCCTCCAAGATAGCCTGGACGAGACCCCCCCCGAAATGAGACCCCCCTCCCTTTATTACGAAATCTGGAGTATCTTTGCCTCTTCTGATTTCCCTTCTTCGAGCTGGGTGGAGTCCAGGGTCTCGTAGGCGAGCCTGTGACCAACCGGCAGGCACGGATGCTCCAGCACTCCTCGAGAGCGGCGAACAGTTCCACATCCACGCCCACGCGGTCTGGATTCCGGGGCGCGATCCCATAGTCGCACGGACACGTCCCACGCGGGGCACCCGCGAAAAGAGCAGCCCCGTATCCACGGGGTCGCGGCCCAAGGCCCCTGGCACGCGAGGCCGTGGATGCGGCCATCCTTTCTGCGGAGGCAGAACAATACAGATACTGCTACTCCCCGTCTTCAGGGGTGCGGCCCGACCAGCACCTCGAGGCGAATCCGGCCGTGGCGACGAGGGCCTCCCAAGAGGCCCCAAAACGGCGAACATGAGGCTGGCCATCGCTCGGACGTCCATTCTCTGTGCTTTTTTCGAACTTCGTGCGTGGTGTTTTCGCCAAATGATCAAGGATGCTCCTCGATGGTCCTCGCCGAAAAGAAACATGCACACGTCCGAGCGATGCCAAGGAGGGAAGAGTAGCGGTATCGGTACGCTTTCCCTCCGCTGAGCACCGCACGCCGCAGCCGACGTCGAGGCCGTGGGTGCGGGCATGCTTTCCGCCCGTGAGCTCCGACGCCCTCCTGCCCCAGGCGCAGCGCGCTGGCGGCACTCCTGCGGGCCTCGTTCAGCCCGAAGCCCAGGTGGCTCCTGCAGTAGAGCCTGTGCTGCCGGCCGCCGAGCGACAGCTCGCACAGGTGGTCCTCGCAGAGGAGCAGCGAGCGGCGCACGAGCACACGCTTTCGGGGATCCGCGCGCGCTTCTCGGCTCGGCGCTGCCGAGGAGGGGGGTCCAGGCGCCCATCCGAGAAATCCGCGCAGAACGCCAAAAGTTCATGGTTCGTGTTTACCCATCGGTCGGAAGAAGTAGGTCGGAACACGAAGTGGGAAGGCGGTGACAATAGATTGGGCTTCCGCGCGCCCCCTGAAGTGGACGGAAACGGCGAAGTCACTCGATCATTGAAGTAGGAAGGCGCTTACAGTGGAGTGGAATATGGGAACCAAAAATACCTACTTTCAACGGCCGATGGGTATGCAATTGTTCCTTCTCCGATCCTCTGGCACCGCCACGCCAGAAGGAACGGCGAACGCCAACTGCACCGACCCACCCCCGAGGTCCACGGTGGCCCGGGTGGGGCCCGCGCCCGCGCGGTCCGCGCCGCCCCCCGCGCTGGCAAGCGTGCCCAGGAGGTAGTTCACGGTGACCCACCCGAAGAGGCTCTCGTCCCTGCCGCTGATCGAGGAACCAGACATGGCATTAAGAGCCTGATTCTTTCAGATTCGGGCAAGTTGAAGTTTACTTGCATGGCCTTCGCCCCCGCCCCCCCCCTCCCTCTCGGCCCTCTTCAGACGAACGCCGGCGTGCAAGCACATTTCGCCTTGCGTGACTTCCACACGTGCAGGTCGTTTGCGGCCTGCTTCAAGCTCAGCCCCCCCCCCGTCCATGCAAGCACACTTGCCAGAGTCCAGAAAAAGGCTCTACCACACACACTTTCGGACCTCCGTGCTGATCTATCTCTTGGCTCGGCGCTGGGCCCCCCCTCTCCGGCGCGCGGAGCGCGCCAGGGGCGGCCCCGGGAGCGCGCCCGCCGCGGGGGCGCCGGTGCCGATCCAGGCAGCCTGCGCGGACCTCCGAAAGTGCACGTTCATGCCACTTCGTGTCCCTGCCGCTGATGACGTGGGCCCACTCCCGCCTGCGGGCAAGATGTACATACGTTTTCACATCCACCGCTTCGTGGACGTTCTGGGAGTGGGGCGCCCCAAAAGGCCGGGGCGCCGTAGATCTGGATAAACCTCGAGCCTCCTAGGGGCCAGACTCTCGTCCATACCCACCGCGCCTCTGGTTTTGGGGAACGAGAACCCAGGACTCCAAAGGCAGTGGACATGGTTCCGGCTAGGTCGGGCATGTCCCCCTACAGGCGGACGTTGGAAGAGAAGTGAAAGATAGCCGAAACATACTCAAAGATTGTGAAACACGAACCGAAATATTGGCCCCATACTATGTTGTAACTATGTTTGTATATTTCTCATGTAGAGAGACGTTGAAGGGGCCCTGGGACACACCAAAAAATCAAACATCAGGATTCCCCCTATTTTCGAATATTTTCAGGGTTTCTGTCTTCCCCCCCACTTCCTCATATTTTTCCATATCTAGGGGGAATCGACGATTCATTGTGTCTGTGGGTTTTTTTCCTCCAGAGAGAGACATGCCCGGCTGAAAGATACGGGTCCGCGCCCCTCAAACGAGGACTCCACTAACGGGCACTTTGCCCAGTGACCCGGCGAACCCAACCCTTCCCGAGGCGGGCAACGCTGCACTGCCAGAAAGAGGCCCGAAAAAGGCAACTTTCGGCAAAAAATCAAAGTATAGGGGGAAAACAAACCTACCTCGCTTTTGACCACCCTCGCTTCCAAGAGATACCAAACGATGCCAAATTGCAGCCTGTACTGGTCAGGCCGCTTGACGAGGAGGCGCATGGTATGGCTTGGTTTTGCCTGGAAGCGAAAGCGGGGTAGGTAATTCACGCTCTGAAAGTACCCGTTAGTAAATACCCGTTACGGTGCCGCTGAATACGGCTCCCGCCCCCTCCCGCCGGAAGAGGAAGGGCGTCACCGCGAGGCGGTCGCGCACGCTCTCCAGGATGCGCCCGCGGGCCTCCTCGGCCAGCAGCCGCAGGCCCGCGGAGGCCATGAGGAAGACCGGCGTGGAGGCACGCCGCTCCGGCGGCACTGTCTCCTCGGAGAAGGAGAGCATCCCTCCTCGTCCTCCTCCTCCTCCTCCTCCTCCTCCTCCTCCTCGTCCTCCTCCTCCTCCTCCTCCTCCTCCTCCTCCTCCTCCTCCCCTCCTCCCTCCTCCTCCCCTCCACCTCCTCCTCCTCCTCCTGCTCCTCCTCCTCCTCCTCCTCCTCCTCCTCCTCCTCCTCCTCCCTCCTCCTCCCTCCTCCTCTTCCTCCTCCTCCTCCTCCTCCTCCTCCTCCTCCTCCTCCTCCTCTGGCGGGATGACGATTCATTAAAAGATGGGAGAGAACGATTGAAAAACATAGCTGTCTGAGTTGTCTGCTATTTCTGCACAATTTTCTGACCGGAGGAGAACGATGAAAAAAAATAGTGGTCCAGCCCGCGGCTGGTTTTTTCTAATCGTCATCCCGGGCGCCGCCGCGTGAACACGGGCCCCGGTCATTCATTAATCGTCATCCTCCATTAGGGTGGAGGGCTCAGGGTGAATTCCACATGGACTTTCGCACCTCGAAAATCAATCCGTCTTGTGACTCGCCTCTTGCAGGTTCAAGCCTCCGAAATCCATCGGAGCGGCATTTCAGATTTCACCCTTTGCCCTCCACCCAAAAATGCTCGGGAGGAGCACAGGTACACACCAATACCGGTATCCTCCCTGCATTGGCGGCGCGCAGAGGCGGGTAGGGGGAGGGGGAGGCTTCTTAGAAGGGGGCTGCTTCTTGGAAGGCGCCGGCCTTACATGTATACGGAAGGCCCGCGCCTTATAAGGAGCAGGGGTGCTTCTGAGAAGCATCTCCCCCCCTCCCCATACCCCCCTCTGCGCGTGGCCGACTGGAGGCGTGCGTCCGACCCGAACATGCAGTACAACCAGCTTGAATGAAGGGGCCCTGGGACACACAAATAAATGCACACAAATAACAGGATTCCCCATATTTTCCTATATTTTCTTGGTTGTTGTCTTCCCCCCCACTTCCAATAGTTTCCCACATATGTTTCTGGGAGTCGACGAACAATTATGTCTGTGTGTATTTTCCCCTCCTGATTGAAGTAGCTCGTCTCCCGAGCGGTGTGGCCAGAGCGCGCCCGCCACGAGGCCCACGCAAGACTCTCTCTCTCTCGGCGCGCGCGCGCGCCGCCCCGTGCCGGGGGCGACGGACGCGCACCGCATTCTTTGCACGAGGGGGTGGCGTCAAGTCGGGCCTGTCCCCCTACAGGGAGATCTTCGACGAAAAATACACACTACCCCAAAAATAAGAAAAACATTGTCCAGAAATAGTCTGGGGACTAATTTGGGGGCATTTTTTTTACCCATCGGTCAGAAGAAGTAGGTCGAAACATGGAGTAGGAAGGCGTTGGAATAGATTGGGTTTCCGCACGCCTCCTGAAGAGGAAGGAAGAGGGAAAACCAATCGACTCTTGAAGTAGGAAGGCGCTGAAAGCAGATTGGAATCTGGGAATCGAAAAATGCCTACTTTCAACGACCGATGGGTATACCTTTTTGGTGCATTCTTGAAGTATTTTTACTGTTCGTCGAACATCCCCCCTGTAGGGGGGCAGGCCCGACATAAGGGTGGCGCCGCTCCTCGGCGACTGCCAGCAGCTCGTCCAGGGAGCTCCCCGCGGCCTCCGGGCGGGCGGCGAACGAGGAGAGGCCCGGCTTCCGCTTCACCAGCCGGTCCTAAGGGGGCCACGTGCAAACCCAACTCGGGGGTTGCTGAAGGTGCCCCTGGCCCAAGGTGCCACCCAGCTTTTCGCCCAAGTTTGGAGACCCTGGGGCCCTCTGGGCCTCGTGAGGGGTGCTCTGGAGGCCGTGGGGGCCTCCTTGGAAATCCTGGGGGCACCTTGGACCAGGGGCACTTCTAGCAACACCCGACCTACCCCTACCCTCCACGATTTCTGAGGGGGAGGGTGGGGTTCACTTCGTGCGGGAGCTCCCGAGCGAAGTGACCCCCGCCCCCCCCTCAGAAATCGTGGGGGGCAGGTCGGGAGCGGCCAAGAAGGGGGTGTCCAGGAGGGGGGGGTGCAAATCATGACCGGCGGCATGTGCGCGGCCCAGCGGGGGGGCCAGGGACGTAATGAAATAAGAAGAGGCGCCATGAAATCTGGGGAAATATCATGACCCCCGCCATGATATCCCCCCCTAGTCATCACCCCCCTCTTTTCCGCCCCCGAGTAGGGGTAGGGTTCGCATGTGGCCCCCTATGTCCTCCACGAGCTCGAAGGGAGCCGGGCCGCCGCCGCGCCAGGTGTAGACGTGGAGGCCGGAAGGAGACAGCGCCCACACGAGCCTACAGTCGGAGTTCCACGGACCACCTGCCCGACCCGAAGGCCCGAAATTCGGGTATGGGGGGGCACGGGCTTCATGTCTGTGTTTTTCCATGTTCCCCGACCCCCCCCCCACTGGAAGTGTCGGGGATCTTCTTACCCGGGTGAATCCAGACCCGGGTCAGCAGGAAGCCAAAAACTGCAATGCAGGAAAAAGAACTGCAGCGCAGGTCTTCGCAAACCCGGGTCAGCCAACGTGCGCGGCCGCCTCGCGGCCACGAGCGGCTCGCTGACCCGGGTCAGCCAGAGGGGGCCTTCGCAGAATCCTGCAGGATCCGGCGCTCTGGCTGACCCCCGTCTGCACTGACTCCCGTGTCTTAGACCCCGGGTGGAGGGCAGATCGGGACCTCCGGGTGGGGTCGGGGCGGTGTGGTGGGCGGTGGTCGACCGAGGGGGCACGCGCGAAGGCGCAGGGCCCTGCCGAGGGCCGCACCGCCGCGGGAAGCCGGGGGGGCGGGGAGGCGCCGTGCGCGAGCCGCACGGGGGCGCCCTTGCTTCTGGCAGGGTCGACCTGCTGGACTTGCGGATGCCACGACAGTGGACACCCTAACAGTCCTGTCATCGAATTTTCAGTGTGTTTAGGATGTCGGGGACATGTTCGAAACATGTTTAAAACATGTCTAAACATGCTGACGACATGTTTAAGACATGTGTTAGACATCTGGGAAGTATTTGGCAACATGCTTCCTCTGCATCGATCGACCTCCACAACGCTGGACGAACTCGACTGTGCACTGCCGGAGGTCCGCGCGGAAGTCTTCGGATCGGCGCAGGAGCACCCCATCCCTGCCCTGGCGCGCAGAGCGCGCGCGGAGCTCATCCTGGGGCGGCGTAGGAGGCGCCGCCAGAGGGGCCCGCGCCGATCCGAGAACATCCGCGGTGACCCTCGAGAGCTTATCAACGCTTTCTTATTCGGCGTCTCGACATTGGGCAGAACGGTCGGCGGTGGACAAACCTCCCTTTGGTAAACCTCCCCTTAGTGAAAACGGCCTGGAACCGAAACCGACGGACCTGGACCCTCCAAAATAGCGGCCGCGACGCCCTCTCGCGAACAGAAAACGGCCAATTCCTTAATCGACGTGTCAGGGTAGGAGGTCGATCCACTTCCGAAACGGGGGGGAGCGGGGGGGGTCTGGATCTGGCCCTCTGCTTTGCGCGACTGCTTGGACCAGTGCGTCCATTACGGGACGGGGGAGACTTCCCCTGCTCGAAACAGGCGCCAAAAACAGCCGAGATCTACTCCACAGGGGGGGAAGGAGGGGTGCGAGGGCCCGCGCCGATCGGCCAAAGAAGGAATAAGAAAACGATCACTCTGTGATGCTGCTGTTCCTCCTTCGGGATGCGCGAGCCGCTGCTGCCGGCATCGAACACCTGGGGGGGGACAGATGGGGAGGGACTGGCTCAGGGGCGGAAGGGAGGAGGGAGGAGGGAGGAGGGAGGAGGGAGGAGGGAGGAGGGAGGAGGGAGGAGGGAGGAGGGAGGAGGAGGAGGAGGAGGAGGAGGAGGAGGAGGAGGAGGAGGAATCGGCGAGGCATCGCCGTTAAATCGGTGATCGGCACTGGATAGCGACGCCGCCGGCTCCTGCGCGGCCACCACCGGCGATGAATTTGGATACTTCAGGGTGGATGACTGCAACGAAACTTCGCCGGCCACAGGGAACCCCTCCCTGGACATGTGGGGCACGGAGGCCAGCTGACCGGCTGTCTGGCTGGCTGGCCGGCTGACTAGCTGACGGGCTGCTGGTTGAGCCTCACTGGGCCGCCTTCATCTAGCCTCAAATCCAGCCTCACCGGGGCTCCTGCGTTTTCCGAGAAATCGAGCCTCCTATCCAGCCTCCCTGAGACAGTAATGTCTTGGAAGTCATGGTTCGTAGAAGCTTTGCGTTCATGATGAGATCACATCCAAAAATGGATATTTTCCAAGAGTGGGGTCGATTGATACACATAACACCTAACACCCATTGCTATTCCTATCGAGCCTCCCAGGGGCTCCGACGTGTTCCCAGGGTTCGAGCCTCATGTCGTGTCTTTCCCACGGGTACGGATCCAGCATCCTACGGACTCGCACGTTTTCCCAGGGATCGAGCCTCCTATCCAACCTCCCTGGGGCTCCCACATTGTCACAGGAGGCGAGCCACCTATTGCGCCTCCCTGGGGCCGCTGTCTCCCCAAGGATCGAGTCTTCTATCGCGCCTCCCATGGGCTCCTACGCGCTTCCAGCGATCGAACCTCCTATCCAGCCTCCCTGGGGCTCCTACGCTTTCACAGGGATCGAGCCTCCTATCCAGCCTCCCTGAGTCAGTAATCTATTGGAAGACATGGTTCGTAGAAGCGTCGCGTTCACGATGAGATGACATCCACAGATGGATAGTTTCCAAGCGTGGGGTCTTGATACGCCTAACACCTAACACCCATTGCTCTTCCCCCTTCTCCTTTTCCGCCTCCGAACTGCTGCGTCAACGTGGTTGCCACCCTGGCACAGAGCCAGAACAAATCTCTTCACTGGCACGCGGGAATGGCAACCTTTAACACTGTACATTCGTTGTTGGTGGCTGGCATGTAGACACTACAACAAACTTTCACTTGAAAGACCAACCAATCAGCCGGTGAACAAATGAGCCAATGAAGGGTCCCACCTGGCTAGAGACCAACCGCGTCGGTAGATTCCCCCCGAGCCTATCCCTCCCCCCTTTCGTTGTTTCTGCACGAAGGGGTGGACCTGTTCTGGCTGGTGCCCAGGAGCCAACGTGAGCCAGACTCCTCCTGATCATGCGTCTCCTCCATGTTACCCTCCTACTCCATTACTGCGCGACGCGTGTGCGTCTACATGAAGCTGCAATATACATTAGCACGCACGCTCCCAAGCATCCGATGTCGTAACTTTTTAAAGCGTGGCTCCCAAGATGTCCGCACCCCTTCACGAAGACCAGCTCATCCATAGCCGTTTTCGGCGGCCCCGGGGGCCCAGCAGGGCCCACTGGGCCCGAAAACTGCTAAAAACCATGCCCCCCCCCATGAGCCTCCTCCCCGTCTCACGAGCGGCGCACGTGTCAAGATCCAAACCATCGCGGCCTGGATTCCAGGCTGGACGCGATCCCGTGGTGGATGCGCGGCTGGGATCTGCGAACCAAACACTCTGGGATCGCAGCCCACGAGCCCGTGGCCCGCGAAGCCGCGGATACGGATATCCTTTCCGCCCACGCCTGTCGCTCGGAGCAGAGCGAGTGGAGACAACGGCAGCTCACGAATCGGATCCTGGACCCCTCCGGAGGTCCACGCGCACAAGATTTCTGAGCTGCGTCCGACCGTGGCGACGAGAAAGCCCGCCGGAGGTCAGCCACCGTTGTCTCAACTCACGCTCCTCTGAACGTTTTCCACCCACGGTAATCAAGAAAACCCTGGAGCAACTTGATCCGGGGTAACTCCTGTTCCAAACGAATACTGGACAACATCTACATGGGGCAGAAGGTGATCTGGGACAACTCCGTCGGCTGAGCGCCGTCCAGGAACCCTCTGGAGCGAAGACGGGACGCCTCCGTCATGAGCTAACCCTGACACCCCCGAGCCCTAGCAACCCGACAGCGAGGGGTCTCGACCCATCCCGCGGGATTGGTCTTTCCTCCCGAATCGTTTTTCGAGGCCCTCGAGGCCCAGCAAGGGCCCCCAGAGGCCGAGCACAGCCCGGGCAACTCGGAGCTCCGACGACTGGGGACACCAGAAGGTACAGATACTGCTACTCCCTGGACCCCTCCAGGGGGGCGTTCTGACCAGAATCTCGGAGCGAATCCAGCGGTGGCGACGAGCGCCTCCCGGGAGGCCCCCTACGAGGGGAAAGCGTGCCGACGATGGCAGTATGGGTACCTTCTCGGGGATGGACAGACCTCCCTTTAGTAAAACGCGGCTCAGTGAAAACGACCCCAGGCCCAAACTTGGCGGGCGCAAGCCTGGAAAATGACGGCCGCGGCGCCCTCTCGAGAACCGAAAACGGACAATTCACTCATCGACGTGTCACTGTTGGGGGTTCTGTCCACCCCCGACCTTCCCCTCCTCCGAGACGACTGCTGTGGCTCCCGCACACCACGCCGTAGCTGATGTCCGCGCCGGCGCCGGCCACCTGCCGCAGCAGCAGGGCCAGCGCCGCCGAGACCGAGGCGGGGCGCGGCTGGCCCGGGCCCATGGCGGCGGACTTCTGGGCGGGCGCGCCGCAGGCATGGGGGGCTCTAGAGGCTCTCGCGGGCCCTGGGCTCCGTACGCCAAGGCATGCTTCGAGGGGGCGATCGACCACAACATTCACGCACACACCAAAATTAGATGTTTCGTCGAGTCTACGACACACTCGTCGAGGGCTCCGTAGATCAGCGGAATCTTTGACGTGTCTGCCGTAGCCTCGACACACAGCACAGGTCTGGGGTCATGAATTCTGTTGTCGATCTCCTACTCGAGTGCTCGCGCGTTGCGTAATGTGGTGGGGGGGTGACGGGGGGGGCGAAGAAGCGTGCACCTTTCGTGTCCCTTCGGGGCCCAAGAGGGCCTCAAACGCACGAAAGGCGCACCTCGCTTCACACCCCCCATTGATCGCCCCCCCCCCCCATTACGCACCGCGACTGGATATGTTCGGTAACGGATTTCGGGTGTGCCATATTTCGGTCGCGATAGGAGGGGGTCGAATTTCGGCAGCGAGGAGACGGCGCGTCGGAGTCCAAAGCAAAAATTTCGAGACCGTCGACGGCTCGCTCGTTACCAGAATTCGCCACAAGAGGCCGAATTTCAGCGGGGACAGGTTCGTCCAGAGCCTTACCGAACATTGTCGGCAACGGAGGATGATGTGGGCGTCTGAGGGGTCACGCGAAGAAGGGAACATCATGAGACCCATTGGGAGGTTCGAGGTGCGAGTCGAGATGTTCGGATGCTCTTGCTGATTCTCGGCCGCTTTCCAGCCTCGGGGTGCATTCCTGCGGCTGCGCCTCGCCCAGAGCCGTTCGGGCGGTGCACACAGATCCTCCCCGACGGCCGCCGCGGACCCGAGCTACAGCCCGACAGCCACTGGGGGACTGGGCGACACACGCCGGCGACAGTTTTCGGCGGCAGGCCCCCGATGGCGGATTTTCTGCATACACAGAGGGCATCTATACGCCACCACCACCCCTCCTGGCCAGGGCCATCCTGGGCCCTGGCATATTGTATACGCCTCCTGGCCGAGGCCAGGAGGGCCTGTACACCATCGTGGAGCCCAGGGTGGCCCTGGCCGGGAACGGTGGTGGTGTATAGCTGGCATCTGCGGATTCTGCAAGCCCTCTGGGCAGGCTGGAACTATCGTGCCCCTGCCTGCGATCCATGGGCGATCGAGGGTCGATGCACCCCCCTTGGCATCGTTCGGACGTGTGTTTCCTCCGGCGAGGACCATCGAGGAGCATCGTTGATGGTTTGGCGAAAAAACCACGCACGAAACCACAAAAAAACACAGGGAATGGACGTCCGAGAGATGCCCAGCCCCCTCAGCCTAGGCCATAACCCCGGCCTCCGGCGGCCGCTCGAGACGCTCCGGACACTCCTGGGTCGCCCTCGGCGAGGCGCCGCCGCCCGAAGGCATCCCCGTGCTGGAAGGCCGCCAGGCACCGGCGAACGCGCCCGGGAGCGTCGACTCTCGCGTCTCAAGGCGGATCCTGTCGTGGCCAGGAGGGCGCCCGAAGATTATATCATTACGTCGGGCGTGTGCCCCTACAGGGGGAGCTTCGACGAGAAATAAAGCATACCCCCCAAATAATCAACAAAAAATCCAAAAATAGTCGGGGGACTAGTTTAAAAGTATTTGTTGACCTTTTGGGGGGTATTTTGGGGGTATCTTTCTGATGTTTCGTCGAACATCCTCCTGTAGGGGGGACAGAGGCCCGACGTAACATCATCGGAAGCGCTTAGGCAACGAATCTGGAACCTCGATCCTGGAACCCGAGGGCCTCGAGCCCCCGAGGCTTGGAGGCCTGGAAATGGGCACCAACACCAGCACAGGGGGCTGCCTCCACAGGGGGAAGATGGTCCTAGATTTTCGGTGTTGGTGGTCATAGTTCGGCCACCTTGGAGGCCAGAATATTACCACCATCACCGAGATCGGGATCTTCTTCCCTCGGTGGAGGCACACCGCCAATCTTGGTGTTGGTGTCAATCTCTAGGCCTGCGAGGGTGGCGGCATCCAATCGGGGATCTTCTGACCCGGGTCAATACAGACCGGGGTCAGCAGGAAACCAGAAACTGCAATGCAGGGGGAAAAACAAAAACTGCAGCGCAGGTCTTCGCAAACCCGGGTCAGCCAATATGCGCGGCCGCCTCGCGGCCACGAGCGGCTCGCTGACCCGGGTCAGCCAGAGGGGGTCCTCGCAGGATCCTGCAGGATCCGGCGCCCTGGCTGACCGCCGTTTGCACTGAGCCCCGTCTCGAGGCTCCCGATCCAAAGCCTGCCCCCCGCCACCGGCCATCGGTTCCCCTGGGCCGATGGGAGGGACGTGGGGGCAGGGCGTGGACTTCGCCACGTGTTCGACGAATGCCGAGCCCTGCCCCCGCCGCCAGCTGCCCGAATCGTTGATCGGCGCGGGCAGATGTCGGATTTCGCCGCCGACCGTACGCCAGGGCGGTCCCAACAAGGACTTTGACAGCTCCACCCGAGCGACGGGAACTTCTAACCTCGAGCGCCCGAAAACCTCGATCACACTGAGCCTATCCCCTGGGCCTCTCCTGAGGGTTTTCTGACTAGAATCCCACCAGCCCTCTGGGCGCAGGTGGTTTAACGATGCTTGTCTTCTCTCTGCCCAAAACCACTCCTTCCCCTGCTCGGGGGAAGGGCTTATCACCGTATCGCTGCTCCCTTCTGATAAACGCCGCCTCCCCCAGGCGACCGGAAGCCACCCAGTACTAACGAGGGCTCCCCAATGAGGGTTCCCCAAAGACGGACCCGCCACCATCCCTGATAAAGAACAATACGACACTTCGCCTCCACTTTGCGTTGGTTCTTGACAGAGATGGCAGGGAGGCACAACATACAGTCATCGACCTGACCTAAGGAACGATAAATAAGGAACGAAGCCCCTCTCTCCCAAGGAACAACGCATAGGGAACGATGAACAAATAATAAACAACGCGTAGGGAACGATAAAGAACGCATGCAAGCCTAAGGGACGACCGAACCCCTTTTGAAAATTAAGCGTTCCTTATTCAAGGCCACTCACTGTAAACGCCGCATCCACATCTGGAGCACGCGCAGGCGGCCAGCGGCCCGCGACCTCTCTGCGTGTGCTGTTGCCAGGGACGGCGGGGGGGCGCACTCACCATTTCGCGTGCTCTCTGACTGGGATGGTGTGGCGACACGCTGCGTCCAGCGAGCGCGTGCTCCTGCTTCTTCAGCTGCGCGTTACTGGCGACATCCTCTTTGTACTCTTCCAGGGGGGGGGCTCTCGTCTCGTGTTCCACGATTCCTCAGAATGTCTGTGTGATCATCGGTGCCGCTGCTTTGCGCTCCCAAGAGCCGCCCTTCTCACAGAATGCTCGGCAGTTCGCTTTAGGGGGACTCAAGATTCTGAACTCTGTGGGGCCCGGGCCCCAGGCACCTGGGGTCCCTATTGGTTTCCCGTAGCTGGCGCACTGGCGCCTCGGAGTCCTCCAAGGACCTTCCCCAGAGTCCAAAATGGCTCCAACGCCTAAGGACAATCAATGATTTCTGCGTTTTCGTCCTTTCGCTTCCGATGGGCCTCGGAGGCCGCAAGATGGCCTCAGAGAGCCCCAAAGAGGGCGCCAAGGGGGCAGAGCGCTCCTAGAGCGCCTCAAGGGGGCCCCAAGAGGGCATTTTTAACCCTCCGAGGGGTGAGGGGCCTAAATTGATGGCCCCCCACTTTTTGAGCCACGGAGGCCAAGACGGCCCCGAGAGGCCGCCCAGGGAGCTCCACTAGGGCCCCAAGACCCCCCAAAAGAGCCCCAACAAGTCACCAAAAGTGCCCCAACAGGCTCCACGAAAACCCCAAGAGAGACCCAGGATGGCTATTACGCAACGCCAAGGCATGCCCAGATCAACCGCGCCTGGAAATGTTCCGTCACGGATTTCAGGCATGCCATATTTCGGTCGCGGCAGGAGGGGGTCGAATTCCTGTAGCCAAGAGACGGCGCATCGGGGTCCAGAGCGATCATTTCGAGACCGTCGACAGCTCGCCCGTTACTGGTACTCGCGACTGGAAGCCGAATTTCAGTTGTGGCCGGCTCGTCCAGAGTAATTATGACAATCAGAGTTGATTGGAGAGGGCACGCGAGAGAACACAATACCCTTCATAAGGCCACAATGCAATAGGGATGTGAGAAGGCATGGGTCGCGAAGCCATGGACACGAGGGTGCCCTTGACCCGGCAGGGTCGACCTGCGAAACAGTCTCGACTGTGCCAACGCTTCTCGGCAACGGATGACCCGTGTGGGTGCTCCCAGGCGCTCAGGGAGCGGCCAAGAGGGGGGTGTCCAAGAAGGGGGGGGTGCAAATCATGACCAGCGGCATGTGCGCGGCCCAGCGGGGGGGCTGGGACGTAATGAAATGAGAAGAGGCGCCCTGAGATCTGGGGAAATATCATGGCCCCCGCCATGATATCTCCCCCCCCTAGTCATCACCCCCCTCTTTCTTGCCCCCGACTGTACCACCACTTCTCGGTAACGGATGCCCCGGGTGGGTGCTCCCAGGCGCTCCTGGGGCCTGGCCGGTGGGCCTCCGGGACGGTGGGCCCGCTCACAAGGAGCCCGCGCACGAGAGACCTCCAGCAGGCCGAACACACGCACGATGCACATGCGCAGGGGAAGGCCGACCCCCTCTCGGCGCGGCCTTCCTCCGACCCTCACTCCCCCGGGCCCCTGACGCCATAGCTCTTGCACAGGGGGGCAACAAGTGGCATAAAACATAACAACTCGAAGGTCCGCGCGGATTTCTCGGATCGGCGCTGCACCCCCCTCCCTGGCGCGCGGAGCGCGCCAGGGGCGGCGCCGGAGGCGCCGCCAGCGGGGTCCAGCACCGATCCGAGACATCCGCGCGGACCTCCGAGTTTTTATGTTTATGTCATTCTTCGATCCCCCATTCATGACGTCGAGCCCGAGAGGTCTTGACCCCACCCCCAGGATCGGCTTCTCATCCTGAGTCCTCCTGTGACGGTCCCGAGGCCCGACGGCGGCCCCAGGAGAGCATGTCCGCCGTGACTCTGCCACGACGCGAGGGGGCCTGGGCTCCGACCTCTCCTCCTCCTCCTCCCCCTGCTACTGCTCGTGCCTCGACCCGCGCTGCTGGCCCGCCAGGGGCGGGGAGGGGGGGGAGGGGGGGACACACGCAAATAAATACACACACAAATAGCAGGAGTCCCCATATCTCCCATATCTTCTGTTTTTGTTTGTCTTCCCCCACACGCCTCCCACATTTTCCTATATATTTTTTCTGGGGGATCGGCGATCCATTGCGTCTGTCTGTCTAGAAGGGGGGCGCGGCCCGGAACGCCCGTACGAGGCGCAGCTGCCAGGCACGCCCGTGGCGAAGCGCAGCTGCTGGGAACCATCCCGGGCCCCGAAGACCTCCGAGAACACCACGCCACCACCCCGAACAACTTACGAGACGGTCGGCGGCGAGCGACGGGCCTTCCTCCTCCCCTCCTCCCCCCCTCCCCTCCTCCCCTCCTCCCCTCCTCCCCTCCTCCCTCCTCCTCCCCTCCTCCCCTCCCTCCTCCCCCTCCTCCCTCCTCCTCCCCCCTCCCCCTCCTCCTCCTCCTCCTCCTCCCCTCCTCCTCCTCCTCCTCCTCCACAGTTACTCAATATGAATACTACTCTCCCTCTTCCCCTGATGACGGCCTGGGAGTGTCCGACCCCCCCCGCGTACTGTTTTTTACACACAGGTTTCCCCGGAGTTGGGTTTTCGCCTGCACTTTTTTCAAGATGCTGCTCTCGCTGAGGCGCCAGCCTCATTTTCGGGCCCCGCTCGTTCCGAATCGTGCTCCCGCTGCAGCGCTGGCCTCATTTCCGTGCTTCCGCTCGTTCCGAATCGTGCTCCCGCTGCAGCGCTGGCCTCATTTCCGCGCTTCCGCTCGTTCGACTCGTGCTCCCGCTGCAGCGCTGGCGTCATTTCCCGTGCCATGCCACGGCATGCAATGCAATGCTAGGTTGATACTACGCTTTGCGGTGCTCTTCTACGCCATGCCATGCCGTGCTCTACAATGCATCGCGTACCCTTTCGGGATCATTGCCCTGCTCGACATCCGACTGTGCGAGTAGAGAGGGGATCTGCGCCATGGTAAGGGATGGGAGGGAGGGGTAGGATGTCAGATATGACGCGAGCGCACCTAGCTTGTCTCCTCCCCTCCTCCCCCCCTCCTCCCCTCCTCCCCTCCTCCCCTCCTCCCCTCCTCCCCTCTCCTCCTCCCCTCCTCCCCTCCTCCCCTCCTCGTCCCCCAGACGCCCGACGTCTGGAGTTTCTCGTTGCGGGGCCCCCAGCGGTCTGACCCTTCTCCCCACGGCCAGCTCATCAACCCGAGTCGTTCTTGGCGGCCATGCAGGGCCCAGCGAGGGCCCCCCAGAGGCCGAAGACGGCGAACCACATCCACCTTGAGTTTCTGGATACGTTGGAGGTCCGTGTCCCTCGACCCGCGTCGCTGGCCCGCCGGTGGCGCGGGGGGGGGGGGGCGGCCTGACCGAGCACCCCGCGCCTGTCCAGCGTCTCCACCAACGCCTGCGGGCCCGCCCCGGCGCCGGGAGGTGGGGTGGCCACGGGCCAGGCCACGAGGGAGGGAGGGAGCTCCCTGGGAGTTCCCTGCCATCCAAGAAGGCCGGCGCCGAGGAACGCCGCAGCTCGACAGAGGGGTGGCGGAGGTCCTCTTCGCGCCTGGCGCTCCCCTCGTCGCGGGCTGCAAGCGCCACTGAGACCCGTCGACTGGGGTGCAAACCCCGCTGGACCCGCGCAGGGTTCGCGCGGCCCGTCCGAATCTCCCCCCCGCAAGCCCGTCAGAGGTTGCAGGAGTGGTGGTGGCGGTGCGCCCGCATCGGGCACAGAAAAACAAGCCATGGAAACGAGCTGTGGCGAGGCCGCAGCTGCAAGGAGTGGACCTCGTGCGGTTGTTCCCCCAGGCCCACCCACGCCTCCCCGCCCGCCCCAATGGTATGTCCACAGCGTGCCCCTCGGGGCGCCCTGCCACGGCGTGGCCAGCTGTAGTGCATTCAGCCTCAAGCGTGTTGGCGGCAACGAGCTCGTGGCAGAGCGCGCAAGCCAGGCAAGTGCGCAAGCCCTGCGCCGCCAAGCCCTGACAGAGCAGCGTGCGGAGGCAGACAGGACCTTGAGGGCTGGCTTGGGGGGCGGGCCTCTCTGCCGTCCAAGGCTCGCGACCATCCTGAGCACCGAGACGTCAGACATGACATCTGGCCAAGCTCGCGTGACTTTCTTTGCCCAATCACCTCTTCATAGTGTGGCCAGATTTTGGGGCGACAGAGATCGGCGTGAACCCATTACTGGGCCAAGATTTCTGGTTTCTCGCTTCCAGTCCATTCCAGCCCCTCCGGGCACCCTCAGGGCACGGGCGGTGGCGGCCCTCTCTGCCGCCCAGGCCGTCCAGGGCGCGGCCACCGAGGCATGAAAGCACACGCCCGGCGGGCCCGCCTGTTCGGTAAAGCCGCCGTGCAAACCCACACGTCCGTGTCAGGAACCCTCCCGACCAGGGCGGCCGACCTCGGCGCTCAGGGCGCACGAGATACTCCCATAGCTTGTGCCCAAAGTTTTCGTCACATTCGCAGAGGAACCGCCGACCCTATCGGCGTGTGAAGAGGCGGCTGTTCCGTTGGACTCCTCTTCCTCGACGTCGTCGTCGTCGTCGTCGTCGTCGTCGTCGTCGTCGTCGCCGTCGTCGTCGTCGTCGCCGTCACCGTCGCCGCTCCCTCTCTTTCCCTGGGCCCGTCGCCGCCCTCCTCTTTTCCTGGGCCCTCCTCCTCAGGCGCGCCAGCCAAAACGAAATTGAGCAACGTCGAAATTGAGTCGAAGGGAAGCCCCTTCCCTTTGATCCCTTCCCCGCCAGGGAGGGGGGGTCCCAGAGGTGGTCCCCGCGGGGAGTCTTGGGGGGGTCGCGGGGGGGTCCCTGGTCAGAATACCCCCCCCCCCCCTGGGTTTCTTGGGGGCCCGGGGCCCCAGAAAAGCCCCAAGACGAGCAAAGAATGTCCCAAGAGGCCCCCAAGACGGTCCTAGAGGACCCCGAATCGCCGAACGATCGGTCCTAGACGTCTAAGTCGCCTCCAGACGGCCCAAGAGGGCTGGAAGACGCCCAAAGAGCCTTCGAAGAGCATTCCAAAGAGAGCCACAAGAGGCGCAATCCATGGATTCCCCTATACTTGTTTAAATATTTGAGCGTTCTCACCTTTTGAGCTTCCCGACGCTCCACGACGGTCCAAGAGGCTCCAACAATCGCCCAAAGGCCGCCAAGAGGGTCCCGAAGCGGGCCAAAGAGGGCCCGAAGACGGCCCAAGACGCCGGCAAGACGGCTCAAGAGGCACCCAAGAGGGCTCCAAGAAGGTGCCCAGTCAGGGAAACCAAACGGACATTTCGAGCCCTCCGCCCCGAGCGACTCCCAGGAGGCCTCAAGAGGCTCACAAGAGGCTCCAAGAAAGAGGCCTCCAAGAGGCCCCAAGGAATCCCATAGAGGCTCCCAAGAGGCTCCCAAGAGGCCTCCAAGATGCTCCCAAAGGGCCCCAAAGACTGCCCCCAAGAGGCCTCTGAGAGTGATCCGAAGAGACCCAAACCAAAAACCCTGAGGACTCTGACCCACGTCAGCGTCGTCGTCGTCGTCGTCGTCGTCGTCCCCCTTCAGGGTCGGCGGCACTAGCCGTAAGGCCGTCGCAATACATGACTGTTCCCATCACCATGGGACGCACAACGACATACTAATACTACATGTCCTCCTTGGAGGCGCGCGTCCGACCCGAACATATAGTATACCCATATTATAGTATATCGTTTCCCGAGCGGTGTGGCCGGAAAACGCCCGCCACGACGCATATACTACAAGACTTCCCGGTGCGCGCAGCGCCCCTGGGGGGGGCGACGCACATACCTTAGTAGTGGAAACAATTGGTTTTCAAAATGTGTGGTCTTTAGAAGCTCTGCGTGGCGACGCCCCCGTCGCCACGCGTGCCCTCTGCGTGCCTGCGCCACGTAGAAGTACTGGAGACCGAGCATTTGGGGCGTCGCTGCGCGCGCCCTCTGCGTGGCTGCGACCACTTGTGAAAACCCACAAACCCATTAAGCTCGCTAACAAAGCACAGTATAAGCATGTTGGGGCGACGCCGACACCGACGAAGGGCAGGCCGACGAAGGCGCAGGCGACGCTGGAGCAGTGACGCTGGAGCAGTGACGCTGGAGCAGTGACGCTGGAGCAGTGACGCTGGAGCAGTGACGCTGGAGCAGTGACGCTGGAGCAGTGACGTTGGAGCAGTGACGTTGGAGCAGTGACGTTGGAGCAGTGACGTTGGAGCAGTGACGTTGGAGCAGTCCGACAGCGGCGCAGGCGCCGACGCCGCTGCCGACGCGCCCCCCGCCGAAGGCGACGCGGAGGCGGCAGCGGTGCCGGCGCGCTCTCCTCGCGGCGCTGGCCGGGCCTCGGCCTCGCCGCGGCCGGGCGCCCAACCCGCTGCGATGCCGCCTTCGCCAGCGCTGCTGCCGCCTTTGAAGGGGCCCCAGGACACACAAGTAAATACACAGAAATGAAATGATTCCCCATGTTTTCCTACATTTTTTTGAGTTTTTGTCTCCTCCCTTCCCCCACTTCCCATGGTTTCCCATCTTTTCCTGGGAGTGGACGATTAATTGTGTCTGTGTGTTATTTCCCTCCTGAGCCTTGGCCTCCGAGATCCGCGCGGCTTCCGCCGCGACCTCGGCTGCCGACGGCCCGGCGGGCTCGGCGGGGGCGGCCTGGCCAGCTGCGGGCGCGCTGGCGGCGCAGGCCTGGCCCGCTGCACCGCTCGCCCGAGCTTGCCGCGCCTCCGCCGCCGCCGCTGATGGCACCGCCCTCCGTGTTCGCCTTCCGCTTCTCCTGAGGTCTCTCATTGACGGCATTCTGGATCGCTAGTGCCTCCTCCTTCCACTTGGCCATCTCGGCTGAGCGGCTCGCCAAGTTCTCCTTGGCCTTCTTGAGCTCGCCACCGAAGTTGGCGAGCTGGTCGAGCTCTCCCTGGTCGCCCTCCTCGAGCTCCCGATATCTCCCTGAAGAGAGACTCGTCCCAGAGCAACTCGATCAACTCGGGCTCGCCGTCGCCAAAGTCTTGGGCGCCCCTCCCTGCATCGCGGGAGACGTCACGCCGACCTCTTGGGAGAGCGCCTGCACCGCCTGCCTGCGAGCCATCTCAGCCTCGGAGAGCACCATCGCGGTTTCCTTCTCGCGGGCTTCCGCCTTGGCAAGATTGAGCTGACAGCTCACGACCTGCGCCACTGCTTGGTAGAGTTTGCTGCTAGCATCCCGCCAGGTGCCTGTCGCTCTCCGCATGGCCTCAATTGCACCTGGGCCTGCAGGCGACTGGGCCTGCTGATTCGCCTTGGACACCTGCTGCTCCAGCACGAGTTTGACCGCAGGATCCTCTACTACCCGATGTGCAGCTTCGAGCGTAGCAACCTGCGGGGCCGCTACGACCTCCGCGCCGACCAAGTCAGGGGCTGTGCCTGCGAACCCTTAGGCGGTTTGGCATTGGGCTGAAACAGGCTGGCCCACGCTTCACATGTCTTGCACGTGCATTTATTGAGCTCAAGTCTAGAGTTCCACTCGCACTGCCCGCACTTGCTGCATATCGTCCACAGATCTGACAGGGTAGATGTGGCTCATTGGGCGTTGCCCTTCTTCGCGCGCATGGTTGTGACTGCGTCCCTTGAGCCAACAAGCTGAAATTGTCCAGACAAGACTCCTCCGAGTAATGTAAAGGGATGCAAGTGTATAGGACAACGGCTGGTGCCCCTCAACCACCACGTAGGAGGCGGACGCACTTGCGTGCCCAAACAAAATGCTCGGGTCCGCTTGAGGAATGGAGGATGAGGAGAAGGAGAAGGGGGAGGAGGAGGAGGAGGAGGAGGAGGAGGAGGAGGAGGGATGAGCAGGAGGAGGGGTGGGGAAGGTGGAGGAGCAGACGTAAGAGAGGAGAAGGAGAGTGGGGAAGGGGAGGAGGAGGAGGAGGAGGAGGAGGAGGAGGAGGAGGGATTGGGGCCGATGGAGGAGCAGGATGATGAGGGACGATGGAGGAAGAGGGGGAGGTGGAGAAAGAATGACCCAGATGAAAAGCGGAGAAGGGATGATTGGAAGAGAGAAAAAGGGACGAGGAGGAGAGGGAGGGAGGGAGGATGACCAGGGAGGAGGGGCAGGAGGAGGGATGAGTTTGAGTTTGCATACTGGACAGACAGCAGGGGGCAAGGCAAGGCAAAGCAACGCTTGCCGGGCGCATCCGCTGCGAAAGCGGACAGGCCCGCCGAAGGAGTAGATGGCGATATCCGAACCCTACCCCCACCAAGAGTCGATTGTCCTGAATCGATGGGAAGCGGGGGTACGGTTCGGATTTTCCCCTGTGTTCCGACCCTACCCCCGCCGCCCATCGAGATGCCTGAATCGTTGATAGGCGAGGATCGGGTTCGGATTCGCCGCCGACGGATGGGGGAAGAAGAAGGAGGGGAGGAAGGAGGAAACCTAGCGCCGATCCAGAACACCCGCGCGGACACCGAAGAAACTGTGCGTATGTCATATGTGAATGTGTGTGTGTGTGTGTGTGTGTGTGTGTGTGTGTGTGTGTGTGTGTGTGTGTGTGTGTGTGTGTGTGCGTGTGCGTGTGCGTGTGCGTGTGCGTGTGCGTGTGCGTGTGCGTGTGCGTGTGCGTGTGCGTGTGCGTGTGCGTGTGCGTGTGCGCGTGTGTGTGTGTGTGTGTGCGCGTGTGTGTGTGTGTGTGTTCCTCGAGCCCCTCCACCGTGACCCCCCCCTTTGCTCAAATGACTACTTACCAGACCACCCCAACCCAACCCGAAGACCCGAATTTCGGGTTGGGGGGGGGCAAGGGTTCCACATGTGTTTTCTCGATGTTTCCCGACCCCCCCCACTGGAAATCGAGGGTAAATCTGAGCCTTCGGGTTGGGTTGGGGTGGTTTGGTGGGTGGTAATCAAAGAGCGGCGGGGCCTGCTTCAGCTCGTCCAGGGTGGCCGTCATCCCCCCCCGCCGGCCGCGCCCGCCGGGGTGGCCCGCGCCCGCAGGCCTCCCCGAGCCGCGTCGCCGCACGCGGCGGGGGAGCAGGAGGAGGAGGACCGAAAGCAGGCCTTCTGGCAGAACTCCCCTGTGAGCCTCTCGGATTTCCAGTTGTCTCGTCTCTCGGGGAAAAAAACACACTGTGGGAAAACACACACGCACACATGTGGGGAAAAAACACACGTGGGAAAACAAACACACTGTGTGTGTGTTTTTGTTTCACACGTGTGTGCGTTTTCCCACAGTGTGTGTTGTGTGTGTGTTTTCCCACAGTGTGTTTTTTTCCTCACCTTTCGGCACTCTGTCGACCATGCGCTGTGGGATGCCACTCGGTTATCTCCGGGCTTTTTTTCTTGCTTGCCCACAAGAGACATGTGGCACACGTTGCGGACCCCGCTCCAAGTCTGACGGACGAAAAAAAAAAGCAAGGCCAAGACCATGACACGCTGGGGACTGCTTCAACGACATGGGGAAACCAGACATGGGGGACCTCAAAACGGTCAGCAGCGAGTCCCTGTGTAGGGCGACGCCCTGTCAAGATGCAATCATTCCTGAAGGGCCCCCGATCGGGGGGAATCGCGAGGTGTTGGAGGTGGTCTCCCGTGGAGCTCGGCGGTCTTCTCTTGCCATGCTTTCTTGTTTGTCGGCGCCCCTCCCATCACCAGCTCGCTGTTCGTAGGAGCGCCGCCTGGGGCTCGCGGCGCGCGAATCCGTACTGGCGCTGCGAGCGCTCGCTCCCTCGGCATGCCTAAACGGGGCCGAAGCACGCGCTGCCCTTGGATACAGTCAGCGTGCTACCACAATGAACGCTGAATCAGGAGCGAAGGGGCCTTTCTGGCCTCAGCGAGCCTCTACCTCTTGGAATCTCCTGGGGCCTCATGGGCTTCCTGGGACTTCGTGAAGCTTCCTGGGACTTCGTGAGGCCTCATGGGGCCTCCTGGGGAAGATCCGTGCCCCAGGAGATGCCCGATGGATAGGAACATACGTACAACACGTAGGTTTGGAGCCACAGGAGTGGCAATCTAGAGGAACATATGTAAGACAGAAAACAGGAGTCGTGCCCCAAGCGGGGCCCAATCAATATGAACATACGTAAAACACGTAGGGTTGGAGCCCCAAGGGACGGCCGTTCTATAGGGACATACGCAAAGCACAAAGTCGACCTGAACTCAAAAGAGCCTGGCCACCAAAACAAGCAAACCGCTTGAGGCATCCTCGCACTCCGGGCCCCCTGGGTTGCGCAAGCCAGCGTCTCTGCTCCGAAAACGGAGGCCGTGGAATCGGTTGGCAAGCAAACCGCTCTACACATCCCCGCAACCTGGGCGCGAACGGACGCCTGAAATACCCCCTGGCGCCCCCCCCCCTTTGGGGATACTGAGGCCAGCGCGTCGCCCGAGACATCCTCAGAATCTGATATGAACGCAGACGAGCCTGGCCACCAAAACAGGCAAACCGCTCGAGACATCCTGGCAATATGTGACCCCCTGGGGTGCGACAACAACGCCTCACCCGATGCATCATCAATACCTGTTCCCAGAGCGAAGGACGCTTAGTCGGTCAACAAACAACACGCTCGAACCAGCTTGCAATCTGAGCGCGAACAAAGAAATGAATACCCCCTGGCGCCCCCCCATTGGGGTGCTGAAACCAATGCCTCGCCCGAGACATTCTCGACATCTACTCCGTCGTCAGCATCATCATCGTCATCATCATCATCATCATCATCATCATCATCATCATCATCATCACCATCATCATCATCATCATCATCATCATCATCATCATCATCATCATCATCATCGTCATCATCACCATCAACCTCAACAACAACATCAACCTCGTCCGTATAATCGGCATCATCAGCATCAGCATCCGCATGATTATCATTATCATCATACGCATCATCATCACCATGGTCATCATTATTAGCAGCATCATCATTAGCATCATCATCACCAGCATCATCTGCAACATCAGCATCCGCATCATCAGCATCACCAGCATCATCACCATTACAATCACCATCACCATCACCATCACCATCACCATCATCATCATAATCAGCATCATCATCTTATGTATCATCACCACCAGCATCACCAGCATCATCCTCACCTCATCGTAAACATCATGATCATCGTCATCATCGTCGTCAGTGTCGGCATCGTCATCATCATCATCATCATCATCATCATCATCATCAGCATCGTCACCATCATCATCATCATCAACATCATCATCATCACCATCATCACCATCATCACCATCATCACCATCATCACCATCATCACCATCACCATCACCATCACCATCACCATCACCATCACCATCATCATCATCATCATCATCATCATCATCATCATCATCATCATCATCATCGTCAAAATCATCATCAGCATCATCACCATCAGCCTCCTCCGCTCCGGGCGCTCCTCCTCCTGGACTCCTCCTCTAACATGTCTTAAGTCGGGCCTGTCCCCCTACAGGGGGATTTTCTACGAAAAATAAAAAAATACCCCCAAAAAATAGAAAATATTCCAACAATTGTTTGGGGATTAGTTTTTGAATATTTGTTGATCTTTTCGGGGTATGTTTGGAGCTTCTTTGATTTTTCGTCGAAAATCCCCCTGTAGGGGGACACGCCCGACAGAAGACATGTCCTTCGGGGTCTCCCGGGGCTCCTCCTCGTAGGCTCGTGCGGGCCCCTTGGGGGTTCCCTGGGCTGGGGGCCTGCGGGGGGAGGGCGGGGGGGGCCGCCCGCCGCCTCGCATCTCCCCCTCTCCCTGTGCGGATGCCATGAGACCGCTTTTCCTTGCCCCCTGGCGAAAACAAGCAGTAGTAGAAGCAGAAGCAGAAGCAGAAGTAGAAGTAGTAGTAGAAGTAGAAGTAGAAGTAGAAGTAGAAGCAGAAGCAGAAGTAGAAGTGTAGAAGTGGTAGTGCGAGGCCGACGGCGCCGACGCAGACGCAGACGACGCCGAAACCGAAGCCGATGACGCCGACGCGGACGATGCCGACGCGGCCTCCGAGAGGGCTCCCGAAACGGCCTCCGAAACCGATTCCGATACTGCTTCCGAAACCGCGCCGAGACGGCCTCCGAGACGGCAGTCCAAGGCGGTCTCCGAGACGGCCTCGCTTCCGAGACGGCCTCCGAGACGGGCTCCGACACGGTTTCCGATACGGTTTCCGAAGGTGGAGGAGGGGGAGGGGGACGGCCAAAATCAGTGAATTCGCGAAATTACTGATTTTGGCCGCCCAATTAGTGAACTCGCGAATTCACTGATTCCGGCCGCCCCGTGCCAAAATCAGTGAATTCGCGAGTTCACTGATTTGGGCCGCCCAATCAGTGAACTCGCGAATTCACTGATTTCGGCCGCCCCGTCGGAGGAGGGGGGCTGCCAAAATCAGCGAACTCGCGAATTCACTGATCTCACCTCCCGGTTTCACTGGTTACCGGGGGAGGAGGAGGAGGAGGAGGAGGAGGAGGAGGAGGAGGAGGAGGAGAATGAGGAGGGGGAGGAGGAGGGAGGAGCAGGAGGAGCAGGGGGAGGAGCGGAGAGAGGAAGAAGAGCAAAAGGGGAGGGAGGAGGCAGAGCAGGGGATGTCAGAGCTACAGACCCGTCTCGTCTGCTTGAGGCCTCGGCTGTGCTCCAGCTGCCGAGGTCCTGGTGCTCTTCTCTTGGGCTTCCTGGAAGGTCAGGAATCGTCCCCCCTCAGATGGTGCTCGCGAGGGGGGCGGGCCTTCCGATCGGGCACTGCAGGGGTTCGCCGACAATCCTGGACATCCTCGCGACGCAAACAGCATCACGGCGGAACAAGTTATTCACGGTATCCCAAGGATGGGTTTTCTGTTATCGTTCCTATCGCGCCGAGTCCGCACACCACATTCCTCTCCTTATCCTTCTCTTTTCGTGGTGATGATTATGGTGATGATGAGAGCGGCCATGATGATGATGTTGATGATGATGATGATGATGATGATGGTGATGAATATGAAAATGATGATGCTGCTGATGCTGATGCTGACGATGCTGAGATTATGATGATGATGATGATGATGATGATGATGATGATGATGGTGCTGCTACTACTGGTGATCATGCCGATGGTGATGCTGATGGTGATGGTAATGATGCTGACTATGACGATCATGATGTTGATGATGCTGATCATGATGACGATGATGATGATAATGATGATGATGATGATGCTGCGCATGATGATGAGGATGAGGATGAGGATGAGGATGATGATGATGATGATGATGATGATGATGATGATGGAGGTGAATGTGATGGTGATGGTGGTGGTGATGGTGATTATGATGATGGTGCGCATGATGATGGTGTTGTGATGATGATGATGGCAACAGTGGGGACAATGCTTATGATGATGATGACTCAGAGTTATTCATACTCAGAGTCACACTCAGAGTCACCACTCAGGTTATGGTATGAGATTGGTGGTGACGATGTTGATGATGACAACGATGCTGATGGTGGTGATGATGATTGCAATGATGATGACGCTGACGATGACGACGACGAGGACGACGAGGAGAGGCTGGTCAGCCGGAGTGGCAGCGCCACCTCTTCTTTGGTGTTTTGACCAGTGCGCACGCCTGGGCCACTATCGGACTAAACCCAATCCCCACTGCAGATCCACTGCGATTGTGGGGCAGCGGTGTGAGGATTGCCCATGGCATCCAAGATGGTAGCAGCGGAGGGGACATGGGAGGCGGCGGGCGCGGCTGGTCAGCCGGAAAGGCAGCGCCACTTCTTCGGTGGGGCCTTGACCAATGCGCACGCCTGGGCCACGCTCGGACTAAGTATGGCTCCGACAAAACAACCCGCTACTACGACTACTACTACTACTACTGCTACTACTACTACTACTCCTACTACTACAACTACTACCTCCTACTACCACTATGACTACTAGTACGACTACGACTACGACTACGACTA